CAGCCATGCCTTCATAAGGAACGGAATATGAAATTGCACATTGAATAAGGGTTGTACATACCGTCGGTGCTTCCAAACCAATTTTAAATGAAAGCACAATTTCAAGCACAGATACAGCACCTTGGTCATTGGCACTATTAATTAACAGGCTTTCTGTGCTGCTGCTGTAGGATCTCAGTGGCCAGAGGCTGCATAAATTGACGAGCAGAGCTGCGTTTCAATAAATCTTTATTTACACCAACAGATGGGGGCCCACCATAGCCCACTGGCTGTGGTGTGTCTCCCTGGGACTGATGAATGCTGGTTCTTTCTCGTGTCCATGGACGTCTCCTTTGCTTTGAGGACTGACCACAGGAGCCTGGGATGTGCATGGGGAATGTGCTCCAGGACTGTGGCTTTTGTAAAAGTGTCTGCAGCCAACAGTGTGTGTCACCCAGCCATCCATCTTTTTTGGAGGAGCTCAACGTGTTTCAGACTTGAATTCAGACCCAGCCCCATGGATAGAGGGGGACATTCGTGTCCTAACTTACTGAAAACAGGCAGAGTGGTCACCGAGACCCATCCGGCAGAGTAAGTTGTGTGCAGGGCATGTTATATGACAAAGTAAAAACCCAGCACAAAGAAAGCAGGGCACTCACGGTGCTACTCGTTGTGGCTTAGAGCATCTACCCCGTCGGGACACAGCCCACGTCCGAACCTTCCTGGGAAAACATTGCACTCCACACTTCCGTCACCGCCTGGGACACGAAGCCAACGCAAACAAGCACAGCAAAACTCATTGCAAAGAGCCCACAATTAAACAAGAAACATACTACTCTTGGTGGAATTGAATTATTGATGATGTCCTTCTGGCCTCTGGCTGGGATTAAAGAGTTACCTCGGAATGTTGTCAGGTACACACAACCATCTGAAAATGGCACTGATGTCTCCGGCAGGCATCTGTCCAGAGACGCCGTTGCTGGTTCCAGTGTAGATGCCATGTGTGCTGACCACAAGCCGGTTTTTCCCATCACGCTTAGCTTATTAGCCTTCCTTTTTACCCGGTTGCCCTGTATTGCAAGAAGCCCTGGGCAGTTACCTGCTCCTGCCTCTTTGCCACCAATGGCTACCAAGGGGAGTAGGAGAGGGAGCGTTTGGGTTCTTCATCTCAGCTTGAAGGTGGACAAGGAAGGCTGGGGGGTGGATGGGTGTGAGGGGAAGGGTCGGCACTGACTGCGCTTGCCACAGAGTCCATGCCTTCCGTGAGAGCCTGGAACTGGACTCGCTAATTATTCAGCGATCGCTGAAAGGGACAGAACACAGAGCCGCTTCCTAGGTACACATCTGTAACTGGGACCAGGAACAGCCGTCCCTGGGCCACAGCTGCCCAGTCTGCCACAAAGCGCACACCTCCCAGAGCTCGTTCTCAGATCACCTTCTGCAGCTCATGGTTGGCTGTGTCCGTCAAAGCTGACCTTCCCCCAGACAGAGGCCACTCGCGCTGTGCACAGGACACCACCCCGGGATCCAGCAGCTACTGCCAACCTCGGGGCCTGGGCCGGAAGGACGTCTGCCCCGTGCTCACAGCAGCTGCATTCACAAGGGCTGAGGCGTGGACACTGTGCCCACGGAGGGACGAATGACTGAAGCAGCCATGCCGCGTACACATGACTCCGTGCCAGCCCTGAAAAGCCGATCTCACTTGGCTGCCATGCAGGGAACCTGGAAGAAACTGTCACTGAAACAACCAGATGGAAGAAAGCACCATGCGATCTCAGAGTCAATGGGAGGAAAAGGTTTAGCACAGAGGTGGAGTGTCCCCTGACCTACTGTGATTAGTTCCTAATTTTCTTCCCAGTGGCATGTCACTGATAAGGGAACATCGGCTTTAGTGGCCTCTCTATGTGCAAACAGTTCTTAGTGAACTTGGACGTGTGGTGAGATCCCTGAGAGGGAAAATGAGTCATTGCGTGACACAGTGTGACTCTCAGGGTCAAAGGAATCCAGAGATGGTGTGAATTACTGCAGGGCGCAGTTTTCAGACGATAATGGCCTAGGGAGGTGGCCTGGGCCCAGGGAGGGGAGAGGAGGGGCGGCGGAGACAAAAGTGGAAGGAATACTTTGGATCTGAGACCTGAAAGGTGCACAGGATCCAGCCTGCCCTGCAGGTGACTGGATCCATGAGGTCTGATGAAGATGGACAGGGCAGGTCTACAGCAGCAGGGCTCTGGGACCCGAGAGGAGGAGGGAGCATGTCTGTAGGAATATGAAGCCTGGAGGACAGGAAATAGTTGGCAGGGCATGTCAACCTCCCTTAGTCCACACAGAGGACTGCAGAGCCTCTGGTCACCCCACCCAGCCAGGCTGACACTCAAGGCAGGCATGTGTCCCCATGAAAGAGCCACAGAGCTTGGCAGGGCCACAAATACGGGTCAAAAACTTAACCCACCACTGCCACTATCACACATGTGTGTGTACACACACACACATGCACACACACACACGTCCAAACCAGAGACATGTGCACACACAAGCCACAAGGGGATATATGCACTCACAGCACATAAACCCATGCGCACAGAAATCACACACATGTACAAACGATTAACACACAACTCACACATTCCTGCATGCACAGCTTTCCTTGAAGGGAAACACGTCTGCTCGGTTCTCTGTCCAGTGCTAGGTCTCTCAATTGTGCACGCATTGACGCATTGGCCCCTGGATCTGTGAAGCCCCTTCAGTTGTGAGTGGGAGTGTGTGCACCATGTGGACTCTGGGGAGTGAGCCTGTGGTTTCATCAGCCTACTAAGGTCTGGAGACCCATCAGGAGAGGAGGTGCCTGCAGTGCCTGGCGGGTGGCCCATGCATGTGAGGTAGGTGTTGGGGAAACACAAGCTGAGGGCCCCAGGCAGCAAGGCCTGGGAGCTTCCTGGTCGCAGCGAGGAGAACAGGGTGCTTGGTGTGGGCCGGAGCTCACTTGTCCCAGATCACAGCGAGGGGAGCTGAGCAGGACATGGGAGGAGGAGCCTCTGCACCCTGCTCACCCTCTTTCCTGGGTGGTGTGGGGACAGGACTGCAGGGACCGTGGGTCACTCAGTCACCTTTGCAGCGCAGCCAGGAAGAGCCTGGACAGTGTGCCCACTCCTGAGTCTCAGGTGGCTTTCTCAGGAGGTCCTGCTGCCTCTGACTTGCCACTGTGCTGCGTGTTAAAAGCGAGCCTGGGCTCCGTTTTCATCCCAGATGGAAGACACAGACCTGGAAACAAGGGTCATGAGGAGCAGGCTTGTGCTTTCCACTCCCTAGAAGCAGGAGGCCGGGCAGTGGGTCCCAGGCCACCCATACTCTGCCCATTGTCTTTACATCAGAGGTGCCCACTCCCCTCCCCAGGTCTGATAATTTGCGGGAATGGCACACAGAGCCCCCTGCACCTTTGTGTGCTGGTTTATTCTGACAGACACACATGATCAGCCAGATGAAGATGTACCAAGGGCAGGGTCCAGAAGGGTCCCCATGGAGTTGGGTACCTCTGCCCCAGGCCTGGGTGTGCCCAACAACCTGGAAGTCCTTTGTTTAGGGTCTTCATGAAGATTCCATTACACAACCGATGACTTCCTAGAACAACCCCATCACCGTGGGGGTGGGGCTGACAGCACTGTCCTCTGACCCCATGTTGGCTCCAGCCATGACCATCTCATGAGCTACAGCAGGACAACGGTCTAGACCGTGGGTCTGAAAGTTCTGCGGACAACTGGGGACTCAGCAAATACTAGAAGCGGGATGTCCTTCCATTCACACTCAGGAGCTCTGAGCCAGAAGTGGGGGCAGACTAGATATGTGGCCCTTATCTGTCACACTGCAAGCTGTGTCCCCAGCTCAGATCTCCCTTTAGAGCTCTGCAGACGTCCACTCAAATACCCAACACCGGCTCCAACCCCTTAACCCCCACCCCTGCATTCCTCGGCCTCAGCCTCCCTCTCCAGAGCCCTTGCTCCCATCTGCCAAGCTGCTGGTGTCATTGTCCTCAGTCCCCTGATCCTGGACAATGGTGACTGCAGCCCTTGGCCCCTTCTCACAGCTAGCCTCTCACTGTGTCCCCCTCAGAGCCACTGAACCTCAGAGGTCAGTGCTGGCCACTCCGTCAGCTCCATGCTCAGACATCACGGGTAACCAGCTCTGCCAGCCTTCCTTTGCCCACTCCCCCTCACACCCTGATCTGGATATATGGCAGGTGCCCTCTGTGTCCACTCAATTCCTTACGAGTTTGGCCTGGGCTCTGGGTCACCACGGCTGCTGAAAAACATGCAGTGACCGTGAAAGCCTGTGGCCATCCACAGATACACAACAAATGACTTGCCAGGTTTTTTCTGTCCACCCTCCCTTCCTGTCCGCTGGCTTCCCATGTCCCCAGCCATCCCATGTCCCCCCTGCTCATCCCTTCAAGATCAACTCCCAAAACCTCCCTGCTGGCCGAGGCTGCTCCTTTCCACAGGCCCAGAGATTAGGTTTGTGCCTTTCATGATACGGTGTGCCCTTGTTGGCAGGGGGCAGCCTACCCTGCTGCACTAGATGCTCAGAAGCCTCTCTCCTGGTCCCCAGCCTAAGAGTGGCCCCTGTGCAGAGCAGGCACCTGGTGGTGACTGGGGCTTCTCCAGGTTTTATGTCCAGAGCTTGAAGCTAGTCAGGGTGCCTGAGTGGTTCTTCCCAGCCCTGACCCCTTTCCGACATGTCCTGGGGCTGCTCGGGGTGTCTTGTAGGCCTTGGTCTGAAGGCCTGGTTGGTTGTCACAACCCAGCCTATCCAGTAACAGCTGCCGGCTCTGAGGAACCTGGGTAAATGTGTAACTGGACCCACACCAGCTCATCTCCACAGTGGAACCGTCCATCACCCCAGCTTCCTGGAAGGGCCCAATGTGACAGTCACTTGGCCTCTGTCCATCCTGGCCAAGTCTGACTGCCTGTGACCCCCGCTGGGTCCTCCCCCAGCCTGTGTACAGAGCGTCCTGGGAACGGCTCCATGTCCACCCCTTGGGTATAAATAAGCCTGAGTGGCCAGCCGGGGACAGCCACCTCGTCCAGGCTAAAGCGGAAGGTAAGCAGCGCTCTTGGCTCCTTCCATCTCTCTGAGCCATGGACAGGGAGAGGAGGCCGCGGGGAAAGAGCAGCGGGAAGGCCGGCTAAGACTAAGTGGCAGCAAAGAGTGAGGGGCCAGTGGGAGCCGTGTGTCACAGGGACATAACTGCTGGCCCCTTCTCCTCTCTCCAGGCAAGGGCTGTCCTCCCCTCGGCCACCACCCTGGGAACAGCTCCTCCTCAGCCAGCAGGACAGCCAGGACCTCCTGTTTCTTTTGAGAAGGGACTGGTACAGGACCATGCCAGGGTGGCCAAGAGCCCTTGGGGGCCTCCTCCCCGCATCCCGGGAAAGAATAAGGCTTTGTTGTTCAGGCAGTGAGCAGCAGGGAGGCTTGGGTTCCACAGGCCCCACAGGGTCCAGGGGAGTGTGGTTTTCTGCATGTCCCTCAAGCAGTGACTTTGGCCTGGGTCTGCTGTGCCCTGCCTCCTGTGGAACCTCGACTTGCTCCGCTGTAAATCGAACTCCTACAACCCAGGGCTCTCTGGGACTGTGGCATGGATCAGACGAGCTAAGTAGTGTGGAAGTGTTTTCCAAACCTCAATTCTTACTTTTTTTCAAGTGACAGTGTCGGTTGTGATAAGGGTCACTGAAGGGAACTTGGGAGCCTGGGTCTCACTCCTAGTTCTGTATCTTATTTAGCTGTATGGCCTGGGGGACGTCACTAGACCTCTCTTTTTCTGCAAAATGGCATCACTAACTTCATCTGAAAACCATTATCAGGACCTGCCCTGTCCCAGCACTGTCGGGAGTGTGGGTTCTGTTTTGACCTCACAGCTTTTGTGGGGCTGATGGGCTGGCTGCCAGGTGGGAGGAAACAGACAAGGGCGGCACAGAAAACAAGCATAGGACAGAGAGTCCCAGGTGAGGAGGAGGTGAGCTAGGATGAGGGGGTCTCGGGGCAGATGGAGGCGTGGGGAGACCAGATGTTGACATAGGACAGCAATGAGAAGGAGCCCCACCTGTGCTGGGCAGTGTAGACCATCCAGGTCGGGGTCACAGAAGGAGGGGCCGGCAGAGAAGGAGCGGTGCCCAGTTTGTTTTCAGGACCCTGCTGTGGCCGACTTAGGCTGGACTTGGGCAGCAGCAGATCACAGCTGAGAGCAAGCAGCTGCTCCCTGTGACATGCTCCCAGAACAGTGGCCATGGTACTGCTTCTGGTGACAGTGGCCTTGATACCTCTGGGACAGTGCCCTCTGCTGCGTCCATTCTGACCTGTGGGTGCCCGAGGCAGGTCCCGGCCCCCAAAGTCTCCAGTGAGTCGGCCTGACTCAGCTTAGACCAGCACTGTGAGAACAGTGGAAATCAGACGCATAGGGCAGCAGATGAGGTGGTGACGGGTCAGAAAGCAAAGGTCGGATGACTTGAGCAGAACGGAGTTCACCGGGCTTCAGCGGAAGGCACCGTGCACGGAGTCTCCTGACCCTGGTGTGGAAGGCCGGGGCAACCTTTTAGCTTTGCATCACTGTAACGAAATTCTGAGACAAAGAGAAAAGGTTTAGGTCCTGAAGTTTCCAGGCCATGGTCCAGGGGGACCCACTACTTTGGGCCTCTTGTGGGGGTGTCAGATGGCAATGGTGCAGGATACATGGCAGAGGAAAGTACTCACCATGAAGGAAAAAGAAAATCCCCCAATCTCTTTCAAAAACACGTCTTCAATGACCGAGGGCCCTTGTAAAGTCCACTGCACCCTCCCCCCGCTCCAAGGCACCACCCTGGAGACCAAGCTTTTAACTCATGGACCTTTGGGGCCATCAGTTCAGCACAAAGTAAGATGGAAGGCCGAGCTGTGTGCAGGTGAGGCAGGGGAATGTAGTCATCAAGGTGACCTTGAGTTAGTACTAAGGTGTCAGTGCCCAGCAGTGTGAACTGGGGGAGAGGGGAGGCAGGGGACTGGAAGACTAAGAAGTAACAGATTGGTACCCTCCCTCTAAGGACCAAGTGCCATGTGTCCTTGTAGTCAAAACTGAATGACTGATAGAACTAACATTTGCCCACTTGGTCAAGAGGAGTGAGGTGGAATGGTTAGTGGGTCCAGCCCAGGAACCTTCCCTCGAGGACCCCAGGCTAGCCCCATGCGCTGTCTGAGGCTGGTGCAGAGCCTCAGGTTCAAGGGAGAAGGGCACTGGGCTCATCTAGCTGTCCTGTACACAGTGACCCTGAGCCCTGGCAGTGCTTCAGAGCCATCTGGGAAGTTAAAAAAAATCTATTCCTGGCTCAGCATAGACCATCAAAGCAGACTGTGATGACCAGTCTGGGCGGATAGGGCCCTGGAGTCCACGGGGACCACTTTGTGACAGCCATTGAGAGTGGTCTGCCTGAAGCTTGGGGCAGGTGGGAAAGGCCTGGGGTTGGGTGGAGCCATGGCACCCAATCCTAGCTTCATGAGAGGAACCTGGAGACACTAAGACCCATTCCCAGGCCACCTAGGGCCATCTGATCAGTATTATGGTGGGAGGGAGTTGGGAGGAGGTTCCTCAAAAACCTGCTGGCTGCACACACCATGGGTCACCCGGTCCCAGGCAGAAGTCCAAGGTCAAGGTGTCCCAGGGCTGGTTTTTCCAAGGCTCCCTTCTTGACTTGTGGACACGTCTTCTCTGTGTCCTCACGGGGTCATCATCTGTGTGTCTGTGTCCTGATCGCCTCATCTTAGAGGGACGCCAGTCAGTTTGCAGTCGGACCCACTGTAGGGATCTCATTTTACCTTAATTAATCAATTCTAAAAGACCCTATCTCCAAATTCAGTCACATTCTCAGGCCTCAAGGCAATTCATCCTGTAACAGCGCTTATTACCTAGGTGTTTCCCATGGAGCTCTGACTCCATCCCCCTCCTCACTCTTGGTGGTCAGGGACTCTCCTCAGCCACCTGGCTGCAGAGGGCTGGCCGGAGGGCACCCTCTGGTCACTGAATAATCTCCTGTCACCCTTCACAAAATGTCATTCCAGGGTACGAAGAAGTGAGCACTTGCTCAGAGATGGCTCCTGCCAATGTGGACCTGAAGACCACCATCCTTTGCCTTCTGAGTTTGGCCAGCCTGGCAGCTGGGGACCGGGTATACATACACCCCTTCCACCTCCTCTTCTACAGTCAGAGCAGCTGTGCCCAGCTGGAGAAGACCAGTGCGGAGATGCCCACGGAGCCGACCTTCACGCCAGTGCCCATTCAGGCCAAGACCTCCCCTGTGGACGAGCAGGCCCTGCGTGATCAGCTGGTGCTGGCCACTGAGAAGCTGGGGGCTGAGGACAGACTGAGGGCCTCAGAGGTTGGGATGATGGCCAATTTCATGGGCTTCCGCATGTACAAGACACTGAGCGAGGCCCAGAGCGGGGCCAGTGGGGCCAGCGGGGCCAGCGGGGCTGTCCTCTCCCCGATGGCTCTCTTTGGCACCTTGGCTTCTTTCTACCTGGGTGCCTTGGACCCCACTGCCAGCCAGCTGCAGGCATTCCTGGGCGTACCTGGGAAGGACCAGGACTGCACCTCCCGGCTGGACGGGCACAAGGTCTTCTCTGCACTGCAGGCCATCCAGGGCCTGCTGGTCACCCAGGGCGGGGTCAGCAGCCAGGCGCGCCTGCTCCTGTCCACAGTGGTGGGCCTGTTCACAGCTCCAGGCCTGCGCCTGAAGCAGCCGTTCGTGCAGGGCCTGGCACCCTTCGCCCCTGCTGTGCTACCGCGCTCTCTGGATTTGTCCAACCCAGACCTCGCTGCCGAGAAGATAAACCGGTTCATGCAGGCTGTGACAGGGTGGAGGATGAAGGGGCCCCTCGTGGGGGTCAAGGCAGGCAGCACCCTGCTCTTCAACACTCATGTTCATTTCCAAGGTGAGGTAAACCCTGCTGTCAGCCCCAGCCTCGGCTTGTGCAAAGGATAGCTTCTTTATCTCCATGGGTTTAGGGAGACATCTCTGACTCCATGACCTTAGTATCTGTGCTGGCTGAGCCAAGCAGGCCGGGCCTTGGGGCTGGGCAGGGGTGGCCACTCCAGACAGTTGGTGACAACTAAAGATGTGATGTGTCTTCTGTTGGTCTGGCAGCCTGGTAACGCATCCGTCTGATGTTCTGGTGCACCTTGGTAGCAAAGCTTTCTTCATTTCATCTCTGCTGGTACCTCCAGGGCGCTGCTCGGGCACCTGTCTGGTGTGTTTCATTGCCGGGACGGCTGACCTGCTGGGGTTCTCCATTGCTTGGTCTCACATCCACTTGAGGTTATCCCCAATTTTGTTGCTTTCCAGTCCCATCCCAGGACTGTTTGGGGGGTCAGTCGAGAGCCTTAGTAGCTCCCAAATCTGTTAGATTCCAGGTTTTCTGTGGAGAGGGGAACTGATTCATCTCAGAGCACCTAAGGCTGTAGAATTTGCTCTTCGCCCCACAGGTGCGCTAGCCAGTCTGTGTCTGTGGTTTGTTTCCTCATGGAGTCTGTCATAAGTTTTTGCAAATGAGGCTTCCCTAGGAAGGAGGGTCCTTGATGGGGCACGCCCTACCCACCAGCCACCCTACTGTGTGTAGCTACTTCATCACTAAATCCCCTCTGGTGCAGGGAGACCTGCTAGTGTCTGTTTACAGGTGAAGTAAAGGAGGTTGAGAAGAGCAAGGTCCTGCTTAGGACGGCACAGCCCCTGGATCTATGCCAGGATAGGTTTGTGTCAAGAGAAGGTCAAGGACCAGGGTTGCTGGCCTACAAGGCACACCAGCTTGTTCACTTACATCACTTTGCATTGGGAGGGCATCACCAGAACATCCCCACCACAAAGGTTGTGTATTCACTCAATGAACAAATAAGTCAGGCTTGCAAGGCTTGGAGGGGCAAGAGAAGGATGAGCAGCAGAGATGAGGGTGAGGAGTGAGGCAGAGCAGCTGCCTTGGCCAAGCACAGGTGGAGAGACTCTGCATGCATTGCTGGGGTGGACTGAACAGGGCAGTCCCGCTCAGAGGTCAGGCCTGCTGGCCTGGGCCTGAGCACTCAGGCAGGGATGCGCCTGAAGTCGTGTGATGCTCAGGCTGGCTGTCGTGGGAACATGCACCAGGGCAGTGGCTGTGTGCATAGATGGTGGAGGCAGGGGAAGGCCGGGCTGAGGGGTTCAACCAGGAAGATATGTGGTCATGAGGTCAGAGTCACACAGGTGCCTGAAGATGGACAGGTGGACACAGAAAGGCTGCTAGCCTTTGACGACTTTCCTGAGTGATGATATCCTTTCAGTCTGTAAATCTCAGAGGAGGAAAGCTCTCAGGCCACCTGCTCAAGGACAGGCCAGATTGCCACGAGGCGGAGGCAGTCGGCCCAGGGGCCAGCCGATGTGGCCACACCCTGTGCGGGGTGGAGGGGAACCTGGAGCTGAGCGTCCATTTTTAAGAGGAGCCATGGGAAAAGACTGAGAAAGGAGAAACCCCTCGCCAAAGGTAAAGGTGTCAGGTCTTGCTGTGGAAGAAGGCTGGTCCTCACCACCCAGATTACAGAGCGAAGAAGGGGCAGAACTGGAGCACAAGTAGAGCAAATCGATCAGCACTCAGAGCCCAGCACTCACTACTGCCACATTCTGGCCTGACCTTGCCGCCACCTGACCTCTCCTGCCTTAGGTTCCATCCAGGGCAGACCCATCCCTTCCTGCCACCATATCTGTCCCCCTGCAAGCTCAGCAGGCCATCTGGAAGTTCTAGGTCCCCTTAGCAAGGATGTCCTGAGAAATACGTGTGTATCACTGGTGAAAGCTTGAGATGTTGGGCCCTTGGTACCCAGGGTGTCCTTTGCCCAGCACTCAATGTCCCCTGAGCCCAGGTGGCCCCAGCAGGTTCTGTGACACCAGCTGACTTGACCTGTGGAGGTTTACTTAACCCCCACAGGGCTGGTGAGCTGCAAGCGCAGAGCAGCTGCCTCCTTCCGGTCCAGCATCTCTGGAGGGCTGGCTGGCCACTGAAGAGGGGCTGCTGCAGCCGGGCACCAGGAGGGGTCTAAGAAACTGTCAACTGGGAGTTAAATTGCCCGGCCCCCAAATCTTAGCTCATTTAAAGGAAAAATAAAACATTAAACGTGGTGCTTACAATAAAGGCCTGTCATTAACATTAACGGGGCTTCAACAGTGTTTTGTAGTGCTCTGCTCTTAGCCAGACATCCTTGAAGACAGTTGGGTCATTTCACCTGTCTCAAAACCTCAGGTCGTTGCTGGCGTGTCCCAGGTCTTCTACAGGTGGCAGAGAAGTCCCCAGGCCAGGACAGGGCAGCCTGGTGGCTGGGCAGGGAAAGAGGCTGAGGTGGGAGAGGGCCTGTGAGCAGCAATCAGAGGCTTGCCTATCTCTGCTTGACTCCTGCCGGGCCGCTGACCCCGTCCCCCTGGTCTCTGTGGTTTCAGGGAAGATGAAGGGCTTCTCCCTGCTGGCTGAGCCGCAGGAATTCTGGGTGGACAACAGCACCTCGGTGTCTGTCCACGTGCTCTCGGGCACTGGCACCTTCCAGCACTGGAGTGACCCTCAGAACAACTTCTCCATGACTCGTGTGCCCATGGGTGAGAGCGCTGCCCTGCTGCTGATCCAGCCCAGCTGCCCCTCTGACCTGGACAGGGTTGAGGCCCTTGCCTTTCATCACGACCTCCTGACCTGGATGAAGAATTTGTCTCCCTGGTAGGAACTGTGGACTTCCCTGGCAGGTGGGGGAGCAGCGCTGAGCTTCTGCTTAGGGTGTGTGTGTGGGGGGGTGATACCAGGCTGGCTGGGCCCTGGGTGTCCCCTGTCAACTCCCCATCCTTCCAACGAGCTGGCTCTTCTGGAGCAGTTGGGGCAGGGGAGCATGCTTCTTATAGGCAGGTATTTGTCTACCAGTTTTGCAGGGAGAGAAGACATTTGGCTGGCCCTCTGAGAGGGACCCTCAACCCCACACACGTGCCCTGGTGCGTCCACGCACCCCAGAGCATCTTGGGCTGATGGGGGTAGGCGGCTTGGACTCCTCTCGAGTCCCTTTCACAAGGACCTTACTCAGCTCCAGGGCCCCCTGTGTGAGGACCCACAGCAGGGTCCCAGGGCAGAGGTGGCCTGGGCTCTGCTTCCTGCTGTGAGAACAAAGCAGTTACCTCCCACGAAGCACTGGCCTTGACCTCACGGTGAGTCTAGACCGGTGGACCAGACAGCTGCTTCCAAGACAACACAGACGGACACAGACTCATGATGATTCTGGCTTTTTTTTAAGTGTGTTTTTTCCAATTGCTGTAAAATAGACATAAAGTTTGCCATTTTAGCTTTTTTTTTTTTTGAGGTGCTGGGGATGGAACCCAGGGTCTCATGTATGCTGGGCAAGCGCCCTGCCTCCGAGTCACAGCCCAGTCCCATCTTAACCATTTTTAACTGTGCAGGTCATTAAGAATGGTCAGTGTGGTGCCACCGTCACCATCACCCATCTCCAGAGGGCTCTCTTGCAAAACTGACTGTCCTCATTCAGCACTGAGTCTCCATCCCAGCCCTGTCCCCAGCAGTCCCCACAGTGTCCTCAAGGTTCATCTGGTGGTCACATAAATGACATTTCTTCCTCTCCAAGGTTGAGTGAAGTCCCCTGTCCACCCATCTGTCTGCCTGGGGACACTTGGTGGCTCCCCTCCCTCTAGCAGCATGAGCAGTGTGCTGTGGACAAGGCACATTGTCCCTCTCACCAGGGCTCCCTAGGAAGTGGCTCCAGATCAAGGAGGATGGAGCTGATGTGACAGCTGTGGCAGGCCTGGTGCACCGCCTCCCCTGCTGGGTGTCTCCATTCACAGCGCCTGCAGGCAGGGAGCGAGTGCAACACAGCGTTGTTCTGGAGAGCAGCACATCTTAGATCTCCCTGGGGAGGGAAGGTGCCGCCGAGAGCAGCCTGACACAGAGGACAGACGGCCACACACTGTCCCCAAGATCTCCACCTGTAGGCCCTCTACCACTTCAAATAGCACGCAGGTTTTCATCGTACTTGCTGTTGAGGTTTCTCTTGGGGTGAGAGTGCCCTGGCTGTCCTTTCCTCGTGGACAGGAGTGAGGAGCACACACTACCTGGCTCCCTGGGAGCCTCAGGTCGGCAGGAGCCCCTAGTACCCTAACCATTTTGTTTCTCCAGTACCATCCGCCTGACGCTGCCCCAGCTGGAGCTGCAAGGATCCTATGACCTGCAGGTCCTGCTGGCCCAGGCCAAGCTGCCCACCCTGTTGAGCACTGAGGCAACCCTGGGCAAGATCAGTGATGGCAACCTCAGAGTGGGAGAGGTTGGTGCTGTCATGGGTTGTGTCCAAGGGGAGAGAAGGTGGATTAGGACAGGAGGGGTTAGGGATGGGCTGGCAGGACAGGAGGGAGAGGAAACAGGGCCCAGATGAAAGAGTGGACAGAGTTTTCTGGGCTTCCCAGAAACAGTGCAGAGCAGCAGCCCCCACCAGTTCAACTCTGCCACCTCCTGCTCCAGGTGCATCCCTGGCCCTTATCAGCCTGGTCTGACCTTGGGTCTTTACCAATGCTACAGAAGGGTTGGGACTGAGGGAGGAGATGCGTCCCCTGGCCAGTGCCCTGTCCTACAGGGCTGTCCTTCTTCAGTGAGCTGCAAAGCAGCGGACAGACTCCTGCTATAAGGCCAATGCATTCCGCCCCTCACCTGGGTGCTGTAGGCCCTGTGCTGGTGCTGGGGGACAAAAGAGGTCACTGCAGGGCACAAGCCCACCTTGTTAGCTGGTGGGCCACAGCAGAGAGCCAGTGAGGTGGAGGTGGGGGTGTGGGGTACACTGGGCAGGAACCGCCATGGGAGCTGGTGTTGACAGTGTGAAATGGGGACAGGTGTTACAGCACCTGCCCCAGCAGCCTGGGATGTGTGCTCCCCCAGGACAGCATGACACAGCAGTCCTACACCCTCCTGTGTCCTAGGCCTCCTGTCCTAGGAGAGAGCCCAATGTCCACTGTTTTGCAGGTACTGAATAGCGTTCTCTTTGAACTCAAAGCGGATGAAGGAGTGCAGACCCCCGAGTCTGCCCAGCAACTGGGCGCTACAGAGGCCTTGGAGGTGACCTTGAACAGCCCCTTCCTGTTCGCCATCCACGAGAGGAACTCCGGTGCCCTGCACTTTCTGGGCCGTGTGGACAACCCCCTGAGCACTGTGTGAGGCCTGGCGAGGAAGGGGCCTGTGAGGCTGTGTGCTGGGCCATCAAGGAAGACCAGGCTAGCAGTGAAGAATAACCTTGGGCAAAGTCAGCAGCTGTCACCACAGCCTTCCCCTCTCCTTGTACCCCACAGGCTTTGGCTGGAAAGCAGCCATCTCTCCTAGGTGACTATGTGCTGTGTGTTGGTAACGAGGAGCAGAAAGCCACCTCCTGGGTTGCCGGTTTGTTTTGGAGAATGGGGTGGGAGCCAGGAGCTGGCGTTCTGCACAGGACTACTGTTCTGGGAAGAATCTGAACAGACCAACTTGTTTGTGAACCAAAAAGCAGCTCCTTTTTAGCCAAGAACAGAAATTGGGTTTTAAAATTAAAACACACATTGTTCCCTTGCCTTGGTTTATATTAAGTTCATTGAGCGAGGCTATAACCTCACGTAGTCCCCACAACTCCTCAGTCTTTCTTTCACGTCTAACTGTGGTTTTGAAAAGTATATTACAAAAGGCACAAGGATGTGAACTTATGCTAGAATGTAATACTTGGCTGATTATCCCTTGTGTTTGTCACAAATGTCTTGCAAAAAAAAAGTAAGTGAAAGAATTCTTAGTAACAGAACAGACATGCAGGTTAGGTGACAGATGCTGCAGTCGTCCTACTGTATACTCCATGACTGCCCTTGCTAGCCGGGGTTTCCTCACAGCTACCTGTCCCTACAACTGCCCCCCACCCAGAAAAAAAATTATGACCCCACTTGTCATCCCAGGGCATTCCTGCAGGCTGCCCGTCCTCCTGAACACTCTGACCCCCCGCCAAATGTCCTTGGCATGCTCATAGGCTCTGCTGACCAGGCAAGCACAGGCTGGCCTGCGGGGTGGGAGGGAGGTTATTACAGGCACCCTGGTGGAGTGAACTTTTCCCTGCTCCCTTGTTACTACTGAACCTAAATGGGCCTGAGGGCGACAGAAGATGCAGAAAGGACACAGGACAGACAGAAAGTGGGATCAGGTGTGCTGGGCGCTTGGGTAGAGATGCACAACAGCCTCATTGCCGCTTGTATCTATTATCTCTTTACTCTGCATCTTTTATCTTTTCTTTAAGGCCTTATTCCTTTACAATTCTTTAAAACCTTGCTTCTAAAAGTCTTCTTTTCTGTTCTTTAAAGTCTCTTCCCTTAGACGCGCTATGTCCCATGTTCTCTTAGCTTTTCTTTAGCATAAGCTCTCTTAAAGTCTTTGCCCTCAGACTTGCACCATCTCATGTTCTCTCTTTAGCTTTAGCAGTTCCCCTTCAGCAATTCATCTTCCCCCTCAGCAACCTCCCTTCATCAAAAAGCCTCCCGTCCTCCTTCAGCAAGTCTTTTTTACACCCAGTGGTAAACAAGGAGGTGGAGCAACAGTTCTTGTAACAAGACGAATCTGCATTCCTGCTTCTCTGAATGTGTACAACTTAGGAAAAGCAGCTGTGCTGCATCTCGCCTTGTGTCCGCATAGGCTCCTACTCTGCTCTCCACACCCTGGAATACAGGTAGACCATTCCTGCTTTAGGATTCCTGCTGTGGGTCCTTGGGGTCCCAGCACACACCTCCACTCACCTAACAAGTACATGAGAGGTGCCCACTCCATGCTGACCCCAGTCACTCCAGTTAAGAGTTGGAGGCAGCTGATTTCACACTTTTGTCCTCAGAACTGTGAGAACAATTTTGCTGTGTTTTTCTGCCACTCCAGTGGCAACCTGTGAAGGCAGCTCCAGGAAATGAGTACAGGCATCCTCCAGGGTGCTGGAAACAGGATGGAGACACAGACTTCAGCCTGCCTGGGTCCTCACTGACTGACTGGCAGACTTCCTGCCAGCAAGAAACGAATTTTTTTGAGAACCTGTTACATTAAAGCTGAAAAAAAGTATCACTTTACAGCAGAAAACGAAAACTTCATCTTTAAACTTTACTCAATGATTCTCAAGAGCAGAGCCAATAAAGAACAAATCAAAGGGAGAACTATTGTGAAACTTTAGTTTTTTGCCTACAGATCTGTGTCTTGAGCCCAGAGGCAGGTGGGGCCCTATTGGGTGACAAGCTGGGATGGCAGCACTTCTAAATCAAGCTGAGCCCGTTTGTGAGGGTCAGAGACCAGCACCAGGTTCCCGCGCTGGACCACTGGAACCAGCTGTGACTGATACGTGTAAACCCCACATATTTGCCACCTCAGTGACAGTTGTCTGTTTCATCTGTAGCATACAAAGAACAGTGCTGGAGTTGGGGGGCTAAGAAGTTACGCTCCTGTCTTGCTTTAAACCAAGTGGGGAGGCAAAGCAATCCAACAGGAGATGTAGGGCCTACTGTGGGGTAAGGCTGGGCCGGATGAAGTGACCTGGCCATGCATAGAGAGTGGAAATATGCCAGTGAACGGCCCAGCCACAATCTCCAGAGACCTTTTCAGCTCCCAACAGCTTGGATGAGTCTTCTTCCCCAACACTGCAACAGGCTCTCCGTGGCCTCTGCAGCAGAGGTCTGTGCTAGTCATTCATGGGTCAGAACTCTCACCATGTCACTGCAAGGCATGCATGACAAGAGCCACCTCAACTATGCTGAATTCACAAACTCAAGGCACACACTTTGTGGCAGACATTTCTTTTATTTAGGAAATGAGGCTCTGGATCTTGACAGGTGTGGGTGATGGCAAGACCAGAAGCACTGCTCTGATACACAGAGCACGAGCCTGGGCACCATCGCCCTGCAGTCTCTCGGGAGCCCGGGTGACAATGCCACCCACGCTGTTCCACACTGTGTGGGTTTTCACAGCAGGACTGGATCGGGAGACAGCCTTGAACCCAGGTGTGCATTTATTTTAACCCTACTGTAGAAATCAGCTCTTCTATATTAAGATTTACAATAAAAATAAAGTAATTTGTTCTGTGAACTATAGTAAAAAGTTTCAAATGTCTTAAAAACTATCTTCCATACAATGGAAAGCTTCGGCTCTCTCTGGGTGAAAGAAGACCACGTGTGCTGGGGAGGGGTGCAGGCACAGGCGTGGGCCCTGCTGGATGACGTTGAAGGCCGTGGCCTCCTGGACCTTCCAGGAGGCCTAAGGCTGGTCTGAGGCCTGGTCCTTGGCAGCGAGGACAAGCTCTGAAAGGGCTGAGAAGCTTTCGATGTCACCTGCTTGCAGGCCCATCTTTTGTATCTGCAAAGGTCATGAAAACGAAATATGCTACTGTGATAAAGCCAAATGTGACAGAAGACCCTTTATTAAAAAATAACAAAAATATCCCTTCCTCCTCTGCCCCACTAAACCAGAAAAACGCAGGTCTCTGAGGACTTGGGTTACTGTTTCCCTAGAACACAGGATCTACTGATTATAAAACTCTCTGTTTGGGGGTCAAACACGCTATCCTAAGAAGTCAGTATGTTAACTTGGTCCATCAAATGAGACTCTGATCAGGACAAGAGTCTCTTGTAAACATTTAAAAAAATGCTAGGAAAGAAAATTCACACTAAAAGAAAAAAAAATGAACTGTTTTTTAAAGTGGAGAATTTCCCACAAAGCACTGGCCCAAGCTTCCACTTTCTCAACATACCACTGGTAATCTTTTGATAAAACCCAATGGACTGAAACATTTGGCACAGCAGCTACTGTGGGCAACTCTGGCTAGCAAGAGCTGGCACACAGTGCTTCCACTTTTCTTAAATACAACACAGACACACACACACACACAGACACACAGACACACACACACACAGACACACACACACACACACCCACCCCGGCCCCGTAAAGGCAGACACAGCACTGCTAAGCGTCTCACAGTCCACCTGGCACAGGGCTGAAGAAGTCTGCTCCCCGTCTCCCTCCCTTCCTTTTGCTTATTTGCTCTTGCAGTGTCTTTAGCAAACTTTACTTGTACACTTTAAGAAACATGGCAGTTGACATCTGCAGGTTGTGTCTCTAAATTCACCTGAGAGCAGACAGAATTTATAATTATAGTGAGACCCTGACGTGTCACAACTCCTCAGAAGCCAGAATATTTGGGGACTTTACCATGTCACTCTCTTTCTCTGGCAAAGGTCTTCACTGAGAACCTACTGCTACATGGAAAACCCGAACAGCTGAGAGGGCAATTTCCTACAGCTGTCCCACGTCACCTGCATCACCTCCTCACAAATGGTGGACCTGCTGAGAGGACCTGAAACCTGTGTCTGACAGAAAACCCGGGAAGCTCAGGTGGGGATGCAAAGCAGCTGTCCCAGACACCCTCCCGCACACAGGGTGAAGGACCCGGACCCTCTGCTTTTCCGAGCCAAGTCAGTGTGTATTTCAGAAGACCTCAGTCCAGCACCAATCACACATCAGTGTCTCCCAGGCCACAGTGACCAGTAAGGAGAAGTGCCTGTCACTGGCTCAGGAAGGTGGAAAAACGTGGGCGTGCATGCTGGTGACCCAGGCAGATACCTCTAGCACAAGGACCAATCTGCTGAATGTTGAATGGAGAATTCTTGGCATTCCAACTTCTCTTTCTCCTGATCCCTAGATGTAAGTCTCTGACCTTCAGGGTGATTTGGGCCTGGCGTTCTTCCTCCAAGCCCCGGGGAACTACAAACCCTCAGAGCCCAGCTTCAGGCTGCAGCTGGTACCTGCTCTCCCAAGTACTCCACATCCAAGGCCAACTGCAGCCGGATCTTGTCATCATCGCTCAAGCCACCACTGGGGCCCACAGGGTTGGTGGCCATGGTTCTCCTGGCTTGCTTCAGCCTCTTCAGGCTCTCCTCCATCTTCTTCACAGAGTTCAGGACATCAGACACGGTCTCAAAGTACCTTGGGCACGACATCACATGGTTAATGAGAAACAGACATGTCTAACACCACACAGTAACTGCCTTTGTGAACAAAAAAGTTCTTTAAGATAGAAATAACTAAGTCAGTCATGGTAAATATTTAATATTTCTGAAGATTGCAAGACAGGACATTAAGTCTCTAGCATGGAGTTCCATGAGAACTTAAGAAGCATATGCCCCGCTAAGAGGAACCATGGGCCAGTACGTCCTTCACACTGAGGTGGCCCTCTACAGTACTCACCAGACCAAGTGGCAGGTCCATTCCAGACACTCCACCCTTTAAAGCGTAATGCTTATTTAAAACTCACTGCCCACCGAATACTCTCAATCAAATTTTCTAATTATAAATGAGTTACATTTCCAAACTATGTCTACAAGCTGGTCATTTGGCATTTGGAATACATTTATCACAAAAACTATACATATACATATTTATATGTGTATGTATGTGTGGGTGTGTGTATGTATATACTTATTTCACTTTTTGGCAGTACCTGGGGTTTGAACTCAGGGCTTCACTTTTGCTAGGCAGGTGCTCTACCACTTGAGCCATATCACCAGACTGCACAAAAACAGTATTACACAGCATCGGTATGTTCTAAATTAACCCATCAGTGGGGGCTTAACTCCTAAGAAATGAAAGTAACACCACTGGAAAGCTGTAACTCATTAATAATTAAATAAAACCCATCATAAAACAGAATCATTTTTCTTTTTGTAGTGGGGGGATGGAACACAGGACCTCACAAGTGCTAGGCAACTGCTCTGTCACTGTGGCCCTGAACAATAAGCTTTCTAGTGTAGCTTGATGCCAACAATGGAGAAGAGCACACACTTGAGGGTGTGGAGGGGGCTTTAAAAATCAACTGCAGCCGTAATTCTTTTTAAATGCATGTTTCCTCTTCTTGGTTAGATGGCTTGCCATGGAAGCCCTCTCTTATCATCTGTGTGAGCAGGGTCATGCTGGACTGACAGTGCCTAGATGGAAGAACCTGAACTGGCAGAGAGACTCAAAAGAATGCTGGCCAGCCTGTCTGTGGTCCAGGTGGAAGAAGGCAGCCGTCAGAGCTGGGAGGGAGGGACAAAACTGGGTGATTTGTGGAATGTGCTGTGATAGCCTCATAACCACCCTACGACACCTCTGGAACCTGCCTTTGCCTGTCCACCGCACACATCTGCTTGTAAGCTGCTTACTTGTGAGTGCTCTCAGACAGCGCCCGCTGTAGCCACTGCTGCATCACTGCAGGCTTCAGCTTATCCTTGTGTCCACTTTGAAGCTGGTGAAGAGGCCTCAGGGCACTGTCCACATAAGAGGAGGCTGTGGTTGGGACTTCCTGGAATGATGTTGGCAGGAGTTAAAGACACACAGAAAAGAGAGCAAGTTATTACACCTCAAGCTCAAGAGGACACCACTGAGGTGACATTCCAGTTCTGAGACATGCACAACTCCACCCCACCCAGAAGGTCACACAGGGTCCACAGAAAGACACCAGGAGCATATGAGGGAGACAAGGAGGGTGGGCAAGACAGGCTGAATGCGGATGAGGCCCGGCCACCTCCAGCTCCGTTCCCCAGTATGTGCTTCGCATGTCTCCTGTCCACATCGGTCACCCTGCTGTGGCCCGTTACATTCAGGCTCTGAGTTCTGAGACCCATTTCTGACAAGCTCCCATCAGGGGTGCCAATGTGGCTAGTCATAAACTGCTGTTTGAGAGGCAAGAATCAGGGTGAGTGACCTGATCTCTCTTAGCTTTGGTTTCTTCATCTGGAAATAAAGATAAAGACCACTTCCCAAGAGGTGTAGTGAGTCTGTGCACATGTCCAGCAGTTTGAATAAATACACTATTCTAACTGCGTACGGAACAGAAAGGGAAAGTTGCTATTTTATTAAAAGAAAATACTGCATCTTATCTTTCTCCCACTTCAATTTGACCACAAAGAGCAAGTCAGAAGGTACTTTTGCTAGAAGGGGTGATTGTACTGCCCATCCTGAAGAGGGAGACTGGCAGAGATAAGGCTGTCTGTCTAGTAACAGAAGAGGTGCAGACAAGAGAGAGGCCCCCCAGACTTCCCATATGAGCACAGGTTGCCACACACAATTTTCACAGTTCCTGAGAATAATTTTTCATAGTAAACTAAGATATTAAACTAAGTCTCAAGTCTAACTACAACTGGGGAAAAAAAAGTTAGAGGGAGAATTATGTGAGATCTAGCAAGAATGAAATAAGAACAAATGCATGAAAATGAGCGTTTAGTTGAAAAACTGAATTACCCTAATCAGTGTTCTATAAAATGAGTGAACAAGAAAACAAGAAAGTTTATCTTTGAACACCAACCAGCGTGTGTTTTTTTTTTTTTTTTTTTTGGTACCAGGGATTGAATCTAGGGCCTTGCTCACGTTGGGCAAGTGCTTTTCACTGAACATTCCCCAGCTCTAATACACTTTTATGCAGTTCTTCCTATTTATCCAGTACAGGAAAAGCAGGTACTTCTAACAACAACATGACAGGAATAAGGTAAATTCAATTTTGGGGGGGGAGTGGTTACACAATGTGAAGGCATGAAAGTATTTTTAAACAGGACTTAGAAATGTTATTAAAATGCCTTCTTTTAGCCAGGTGTGGTGGTGCACTCCTATAATCCCAGCCCTCAGGAAACCGAGGCAGGAGAGTATCAGGAGAATCAGGAGTTCGAGGCCAGCCTCGAGGCCACATGAGACCCTGCCTAAAAATAAAAGTAAAATATAAAATAAAATGCCTCTTTTGAGAAAAGTACCTTGCCTTAAGGTGCAAAGATTCCAAAGTCTACTCTACCCAGGCCGACCACCTGGAGCCGAGCTCCTGCACTCCTCAGTTCCTGCCTCAGGATGCCCTGGGGACCTGCCTGTCTCACTTGAGCACAAGCACACCCTTCCTCTTGGGCTTCCTAAATCCATACTTCTCTACCTCCAAGTTCTTCTCTGTGAATGACGCTGACCTTATTGGTCCTCCGGTAAAGCCTGGGGACCTCCTGGGCACTTTTCAGGCAGCTGAAGCAGGACTCACTCAAGGCCTGGACGATCTTGTTGCTCACGGCTGGCACACAGGCTGACAAGGCACTCTTTGAGTCCTCCAGGGCCGCTGTGGGTGGGAAGGCTGGAGTTAAACACTGTCTGGGTATAGCTGTAAGCTTTACTTTAAATATTATCATGGTATTTAGAGTATACGATAATAAATCAAAGTATTCAACTTTTAAAACATTTAATTTAGGGAAGTTAGAATATAGAAACAACCAGGCTTTACAACTAGAGAAGAAAATGTTAATTTAAATAATCCCTACAGTCTCTCAAATTTTACTTTACATCATTTCTTATTCAAAGATTTGCTGAGTCTAAATGTTCCCCTTTACCTGAGATAGAAGAAAAATTCTCAAATCCAATCATTTTAAGTTTTTGCTTGATTATCTCCAAGAGTTCTGGAAGCTGAAACACACAAGCACTTTATACATTGTTACTTATAAATCGAAGAAGGCAGTTCTAGTCACATCACAAACTTGGAATATGTTAATGAGCAGTGAAACTAAAATCAGGACTTCCAGCAATGGACGTGAGGCTCACTGCTTTCTTTCACTGAGGGAGTCAACAACATGGCTTTGCAGCTTCCGACAGGCACAGAGAATAAGTGAAAATCTATTTGTGGCTCTCTGTGATACCAAAAATGCGCAAAGAAGATCTTATTCTTGGCCAAAACACACTGCACTTACTCAAGCACACACGTCATTAAACTGTGGAAAGCAGAATCATGTTAGAGGACATAAACATGGATGCTCTCTCAATGCTGAAAGCAAAAACCTGAGACCTACACGGAGAGAAGTTTCAGTAAGTCAACACCTTCAAACATCATCAGAAGACATTTGGCTCAGTGAATTAAAAACAATTACAATCCAATGCAAAGCAGAACTGAGCTGATGGGGAAAACAGAAAATGGGGAGCAGCACTGTGCTCCAAGTGGGCCACTCCTGAGAGGAGGAAGCAGGGGTGGCAGGGCAACACTGGGGCTCTGGAGGTGCTGGAAAACAGTGAGCAGGAAGGGTGCACCACGTTCTCTCTTCCACAGTTCTGAGGCCTGAGAGGCCAAATGATGTCAGCTTTCAGCACACGCTGCTTTCTTTGAAAACACGCGCAGGCTTACCTGTTCCTGAAGCCTATCCAGGTCTGCAACCACGTATACGAGCTGAGTGCTGGAAATGGAGGCCACTGGTTTTGTTTCTGGAAGACCACTTCCTTGGTCCTCACTATTTCCTTGGATTGCAGAAGGGTCTTTGCTGCCAGACACCAAAGGCTTTTTCATCTCCTTGGCACTTTCGTTAGAAATGGGCCTGAGAGAAAGCTGTGGAGGAAATTCAGTGATTGAAGCTTTTATACCAAAGACATACAGCACTTACACAGCTGTGAGTCAGTAAATTCCCACAAATGCCAGCTGTGCAGAGGCTGCGGCAAAAATGAACTAATGGAAGGACGGCATGTCCATCTTTCAAGGTGGTATGACGACAAAAGGAGCAATGACAAGTGTGACTGCAGGTGCTTCCTGAGCTGAGAACTTAGTAATGATGTTAAAGTAAACAAGCAAGAAACGATACTGGAATCTGGGTGCTGGTGGCTCACACCTGTAATCCTAGCTACTCAGGAGGCAGAGATGAGGAGGATCACAGTTCTAAGCCAACCCAGGTAAATAGCTCACGAGACAGTGTATCAAAAATACTCAAGAAAAAAAGTGCTGATGGAGTAGCTCAAGTGGTAGAGTGTCTACCTAGCACACGTGAGGCCCTTTGCTCAAACCCCAATACTGAAAAAAAAAAAAAAAAAGAAACCAAAAAACCGAAAACACAACAAATGGTAAGTTCTTAAGCCACAGTAAAATTACTTTCTGGAACATCAGATTTAAAAAAATTAACTCCACTGTGTAAATAACTTATCAAATTTACTTAATAAATTGATAGTTATATTTAGTTAAAAAAATTAAATCTAAACCTCACTCTACTTCCACTAACACAAGAACAGTGTTTTCACATGACAGACTGTTAAAGAGAAAGACCAAAAAGTAGCGGATGAGCACTGAGAGGAAAAAATGCGAAAGAGAACATTCCAGGCAAAGTAACTTACTAAAGATAAAGGGAAGAACACTGTCTAGCAAGACTGCTGATCTAGGGGGTTCAGGCCTGGTCCCAGAACTGTCCTGTCTGCTGGGAGCTTCAGTCCACAAATACATCCTCCAAGCAGCGCCGTGTGAACTCGTTTTCCCACTTTACAGATGAAGACTTCTAGAACCATGGAGCTTAAAGTCCTCAGCCCCAGGATTAGAGGCAGCATGGCCTCACCTGGCTCCACTCTGCTCTAGACAGCAGAGCTGTGCTCCTGTCTGCATCCTCTGCAGGCTGTCCTTTGCCTTCTTTCCGTTTTTTTTTTTTTTTTTAACACTCCTTGCGCTATGATGACCGGTTTATGTGGTGTGTCACTCGGGCTGTGGGGGGTGGCTCTGCAGACTTGAGACTGCAAGGACCTGGTCAGTATGAGCCTTGGGCTCCTTGTGTGTATTAACAGTGATGAGACTGTGTGGGTATTTAATACACCTGGCTGTCTGCAAAGAGAAAAGGAGACCCTAAAAGGAAAGGGTAACTACCTTTTTATTTCAATGAGATTTTTTAGAACTGCTAAGTATTAAAATGCATATATTTTGAGTTCTAATAGTTTTCATTAAAATGAACACCTGTTTTATTTTAGAGGCACCTTAAAGATTCTGGTTTTGGGAAGGAAAAATGGATTTGTGAGGGTGGGGCTTTCCAGAAACAAAATACAGAGCCTACGAGGCTCACCCAAGCTGGCAGGACCCTGAGAAGTTGGCCCTCGGCTTCCTGGGAATCAGTGCCTCATGTCCCCTGGACATTTAGCTAAAGACGGCTTTAGTTCCTACCTGTATTGGTTAGTGGTAAGCCGTCAGCCAGCTCTTACCTCGCTGACAAACACAGAGAATCGCGCCAAAATCTGCAGTGTGAGCCTCCACAGGCGATGAGCCAGCACTGGCAGAAACATCTCGTTGGACCAGCACTTCCTCAGGCTGCTCCATGTTCTGTGAGAAGCCGAAAGGCAATACGGACTTCCAGCTGCAGAAAAACCATGGCCTTAGGGAGCTTTAGTCAATCACGGGTATCTAATGCTAGACTTTAGTGCACTGAGTAAAAGAACGGGGATTCTGAAGAACGCTGTGGTCAGCAGAGCTGCCAGTTCAGTCTCAAGGACATGTGGATGTTTATTAGGTCTTTAACCCAGCAATGCATCCTGTGACTTACTGATGCCCTTCCCCCAGGCATGTGGGTAAGCAGGAAACACACAGCACCCAAAATATCTTTCAATGGGTATTTGACACCAAATCAACACTTGCAAGGATTTGAATTTCCATTTTGAACTTGTCCGGTTTCATTTATCTCCTGTCTCCTCTTCTACCTCAAGACGGTACTTACAGAGAGGAAATCAACTACACATGACCAGCTTCAGCAAAGACAGATGGAGACTAATTCTGAGGCTAAACAGGGAGGCTTGGATGCCCTGTACTTAGCTGCTTCAGAGAGAGCAGACACTGAAGTGAGGAACCTAGAGGCTGTGTGATGTAGAAACAGCCACATTGGATCTCAGCTGTCACCAAGAACAAGTATGACACAATATAAACATGAGTAAAGCTGTCGGGGCATGCACATGTGCTTTAAGTCTGCACCTATGACTGTCACCCACCAGAGTCCCAGGACTGGGCCCCAGAACAAAACAGGACCAGCTGGTTCACTCTCAGGGAGGGGCAGAAGCATCCGACATCCAAGCCCTACACTGAGCCTGTGCTCAGGCGAGGAGGAAGTGAATTGTAGCAATCACCTGAGCTGACAGCACAGCAAGTCTTCAGCCTTCACCATGTTATATGCAGGACAGCCAAGAAAGTCTGCTTCCTACTTTGTAACGTGTCCCTTTTATCATCTTTGTACAGCAAGGAACTCAATGAATCAAAAGATCAGTTTTTTTTGCCTCATGAAAAAGGAAGTTGGCTGCTGATGTAGCTCAGTGGTAGAGCACTTGCCTAGTATGTGCAGAGGCCTGGATTTGACCTCCAGCATTGCCGAGGGTGGTGTGTGTGTGTGTGTGTGTGTGTGTAAACTACACGGCTCAACTTACTGTATGGCATGAAAAGGTGAGAGCACTCTTGGGACAGCTCAGCTAACCCACTAGGGACAAATCTGCTGCTTGTTTTCACTCTAAGGAGGTTACCTGGAGCATCTGCCAGCCCGTCCGCGAGCGCTGCCTCTAAGGATCCCGCCACTTCTCGAAACCTGAGCAAAGAAGGACACAGGTCAGTGTTGACCACCCTGCCAGCCCCTTTTCCTGCCCACCCCTCTCTGCCCAAGTGACAGGACTGCCTGCTTGCCTGACAACATCCTCAGGTATGCCCAGCCAGCCTCTGGATACCTATTCTCCCGGATTTTTTTTTTTTTTAAACTGAGCAAAAACTAAACTACCTTGGGCTGGCGGAGTGGCTCCAGCAGTAGAGTACCTGCCTAGCAAGTGTGAGGTCCTGAGTTCAAACCTAGTACCACCAAGAAACAAAAAAGCCCCACGTTTCTCAAGCAAAAATGCTGTCGCACAGGCTCATAAGAGGTCGCCCTGTGAGTCCCACCCCATTGTGACCCTGTGATCACTTCAAGGCCAAACAGCGATGTGTGTCTCTCACCCATGTATGTTAACACTATGAGCCAAGAAAAGGTCCCAGGAAATGGGAAAGCTTTTGTTCCGCACCTGCATTTGCAGCTTGAGAAAAATTCTTGAGGTGTCAGTGACCCCTGGAACTCACTACTCAGTGACTACCACAGACGGGCATGTTTTCAGTCCTTTGTGGAGGGCAGCTGTTTTACTATTTTATTATGCACTGGCTGCTTGTTTCCAAGTTATCTTGGCACCAGTGCACTCTCCTGCCCCCTGCTGGCTCCCTTGCTAACAGTAAATTTGACTTCTGCTCCAGATCCATTTATCTAAGTGACACTGGAGTTTTGATGATACACCTATGCTTTTAAAAAGCAGTTCGGAGGTGGAGTGAAGAACAGCACTTCCGACAAAAGCAGCAGCCCTAGCTGGCCCTGACATTGTAGCTACTGGTCTCTGTATCTGCCCCATTCACTCTACAGAAGGAGGAAGCCTCTAGCTGAGCAACGAAGCCTACAAAAAGCTGATCTTGGCAAGCTGCAGGTGAATGCAGCACGAAGCAGATCAGCAGCAGGGAGGCAGTGGCCCTGGGTCAGAGGCAGGAGAGGAGCTGCTCTGGGACAGGAGCACACACCAGCTCTGATGCTCAACCCCAGCCCTCCAGCACCTTTCCAGATTCCACAGAAAACAGAGTGTGAGCCCTAGTGCAGAGGCCTGGGGCGCCAGTACAGCATCATCCAAAACAGGATACTGAGGCACCTAAATGGCTGAAAGGGAAGAAGTGGTACCATAACTGTCCCACTAGAACATAGCACTAAAGCAGGAAGTGCAGCACTGGAAAGCACAAGGGACAGCATTAGGAAAAGACACAGGATATTAAGGTACACTTACAACAATTCTGGAAGCTACACAAATGAAAAGGCAAAAGAATCAAATGCAGTGGGGCCTTGACATCCAGTATCCAGAAGTGCTGTGTATCGGTGGACTCAGACAGGCCTAAGTCACTTGGCAGAGCCGTGCTTTGGGCCAGGAGCTCTGCTGTGTGTAAAGCCTAGGAGGGGCACAGATGAGGAGTGCTTTGGCGAGCTGTGAACAGTGTCAGGCTGTGGTTTTCACACACACATCAACGTCACTCTCCTCTCAGGATCTAAGTAAGAGGGTGTCTGGGAGGCTTGAGACATGCTCCCCCACGAACAGCACAGCTCCACAAGAGCCTACAAGCACTCAGAACGTCAGCACAACAGCAGTGGGTGCTGCTCTCTCTCTGCACTGAAATACCCAGTGTGAGGTGTGGGCCTGCCATGGATGTGCAGGCCTGAGGAGGGTGTGTGCGAGGGAGTGAAGGCTGCTCCCCTGCAGCACAGATCCCACCATTAGGAGCTCCTCTGCATGCAACATATGCTCTGCAAAGAGTTCAACTTAAAAAACTCAGCAAACTAAAAACCTGGCCTTGGCTCCCGAAGGGCTAATGCTGCCCTGGCAGGTTCTAAGCTGCTCCTGGCTGGCCCAACTTGATGCCGCTTTGCTCATGTGTGCATTTAACTTTCCTCCCATAAGAAAGTGAGTCCTACATCTACTTTCCAATACGTCCATAGGAGCCAATGACATGTAGACAGAGCACCATCCTGGAACAGTGAGGGGACTTTAGGGGTGTTCATGTGAGTGGATGCAGTGAGCTGGGTGGCTTGTTTTCCTAAGGATGATCGGATGTGCGCACACAGCAGATCCCAAGGTGCATACTGCTCCCGAGAGTTCTGAGCATTTTCTGTCACAGTCTTAGTCCTCAAAATGATCCTGCACTATTTCAAATTCTGCCCATGACTCAAGAGGTTTCTTGCCCTGGCTCCATCCTTCCCATGCAGACCCCAAGTGTCTCAGATGAGCAAACCCTCAATTTCCTACTGATTGTGTAACCCTGAAAACCAACAGCAAAAGCAGGATGTGGGCAAGAGCACCTCACAGCCTCAGAGCACTGGGACTTCATCATGTGCTGATGACCACAACTTCTCAATCACGTCAGGCAGTTACAATTGAGATACCTGCTTCCTGATGTATTGTCTTGCTATAGCTTTCCTCTGCGCTCTGGGGAAATGATGGACCTCAATGAATGAAAATGCGACATTTAAACAGAAAAGCTCGTGGCACCTCGCAGAGTACTCCATCTAAAATGTTTCAGTGATGCTACTCTGGGCAGGACTCACCACCACCTTCCTCAAGAGACTGCAAAACTCACATCTATTTTTCAGCACAACATTTGCTAAGGGTTTTCCCGTTTCCTCAAGCACTCCATAGAATTGCATACTGACAAATAGCATCATGAGACCTGGAAGGAAAGTGCCACCATTTTTTAAAACAGAGAACAAAAGTCACAAAGGCCAGAGGGAGAGGAAGTAACCAGGCTCCTCATAGGCTGACACTGGGATGCCACAGTGGAGCCACTTCTGCTTTCTCTGGGGGACAAGCACTGCAGCCGAGCGCAAACCACTGCTGTGGGACATCCATCATCTGAGGCAAACGACGAGGTAGAGAGAAGGAAGGAGTGGGTTGCTATCCAACTACTACTTTCCACGTTCCCTGCCATGAATGAGGACACACCTTGAAAGAACAGGCCGGGGCCTGGACTCTGGCTTAGTCCAGCTCCAATGGTCCCTCCCATTAGCAGAAAACAGGTATCTTTTTGCCAGTTTGGCATCCACAATGCTTCTTGTCCATTCCCACTGTCAAGTCTGCCCTAAAAAAGACTGTGATGATCCCAGAGAAGGAGCTGCTGACTGGAGCAAGGTTCTTAACTTGCATCAAATCCTACTCAGAAGGATGGGTGGGGATGAATGACTGACCTTATCTGGAAATACACCGGCAAGTTCCACTTGTCACTGAAGCTATGATAGGCGGGGTGTGCTCGCAGTCTCTTCACACTGGCTTGGGACCCACACTGTTGTTCAAATCCTCTCACAAAATCCATGCTTATGGTATATTTCTAAAACAGGAACACATGGAGCTTTCATCAGCAGCAAGCTAACCAGAACCAGGAACATGTGCTGAAGACCATCATTCAAACAAAGGTGGTCAACAAAGAGCCACACTTGTAGAGCCAACACGGACCTTGGATATCTTCCTTCCAATGTCTCCACTTGGAGATGAGGTGATGCCCAAAGCAGCCCTGTGACACTGCCAAAGTGTCATGTGGCAAAGCCATCTGAAACCCAAGTTCAGGATTCCTGTTCCACCCCTCAACCATCCACTGGAATCAAAGCAGACAGTAGGTTAAATGGCTGTTTCCTGTCTCTCCAGAAGGGCAGGAGGAGAAATCTTTTAAAAGGAAATACTCAAGACCACATAAGGAATCACATCCTTTTAAAATTGGTGTGTATTAAAACCGCACACAGTAAGGGTTTTATCATGGTACTCTGTGGCACGTCTATACATATACTTTGATCACACTCACCCCTCTATTTCCTTTTTGTCCCCCCTCTTTTCCCTTCCCTGTAGTCCCCCTCTTTGCCTTCGTGACTTTGGCTTTTTGTTTTGTTTTCCCTTAGCTTCCACAAATGAGAGAAAATGTCTTTTGTGGGCCTGGCTTATTTCACTTAACATAATCTCTAGTTCCATTCATTTTCCACCAAAAGATGTAATTTCATTCTTCTTAATGACTGAGAAAACTCTATTATGTATAAAAACATTTTCCTGATCCACTCATCTGTTGATGGGCACCTATGTTGATTCTACAACTGGGCTATTGTGAATTGTGCCGTATGTGGGTATCCAGGTCTCTGGAGAAAACTGACTCAGCTTTTCTGGGGTGTATACTTGGAATGGTAAGGCTGGACCAAATGGGAGTTGTATTTTTAATTTCTTGAGGAATCTCCATGTTCATTTCTATAGTGGCTGTACAAATTTACATTTCTGTCAGCAGATGAGTCATTGTCTCCCCTCAACCCCCATCCTCATCAGCATTTGTTGTTTTTTGGTGGAACTGGGGTTTGAACTCAGGGCCTCATACTTGCACAGCAGGTGATCTACCACTTGAGCCACACATTAAGTCTATTTTGCTCTGGTTATTTTGGAGATGGGGTTTTGTAAACTATTTGCCCAGGCTGGCCTCGAGCCGTAATCCTTCCAATCTTAGCCTCCAAAGTAGCTAGGATTATGGGTGTGAGCCAGTGGAGCCTGCCTTTTCTTGAAGTTAACCATTCTGATCAGGGAGAGATGGACTCTTAGTGTAGTTTTTTTTTTTTGCATTTCCCTGATGGCTAAAGATGTTGACTATTTTGTTTCATGTATTTATTGGCCATTTGTATTTCTTCATTTGCAAAGTGTCTGTTCAATTCTTTTGCCCATCGACTGAATGGGTTGTTAGTTTGGGGTTTATTTTTCTGAGTTCTTGATATATTCTGGGTATTAGCCCGTTGGATGAACATCTGTAAAGATTTCCTCCCACTCTGTGGGCTGTCTCTTCATTCTGTTGTTTGTGACACAGACAAGCTGACTTGTCAGTTCTTGCTCGTACTTCCTGAGTTTCTGCAGCCTTATTCAGAAAGTCTTTATCTAAACCTGCATCTCAAAGTCTTTTCTCTATGCTTTCCTCTGGCAGTTCCAAGGTTTCAGGTCTTACATTAGGTCTTTGATACATTCCGAGTTGACTTTGTACAGGGTAAGAGACAGGGATCTAGTTTCAGTCTCCTGCATGTAGTTATCCTATTTTCCCAGCACCACTTGTTAAAGAGGCTGTCTTTCCTCCAATGTAAGTTTTGGCATCTCAGTCAACAATTAGGTGGCTGCACCTACTTGACTTCATTTTGGATCGTCTCTTCTACTCCACTGATCAGTATGTTTTTTGTGCCAGTACCGTTCCGTTTCTGTTTCTAAGACTCTGGAGTATAATTTGAAGTTGGTATTGTGACACCTCCAGCACTGCTCTGTCTGCTCAGGACTGCTTTGACTATTGGGGTCTTTTGGATTCCATACGAATTTTAGGATTGTTTTTTATGTTTCTGTGAAGAATAATATTGGACTTTTCAGAGGGATTGCATTGAATCTCAACACTGCTTTCCACTGTACAGTCATTTTTACAATACTAATTCTGTCAATCCATGAACTTGGGAGGTCTTTCTGTCTTCCAGTGTCTTCTGCAATTTCTTTCTTCAATGCTTTGTACTTTTATTGTAGAGGTGTTTCAGATCCCTGGCTCAGTTTAACATCCCTGGTTTGGTTTAGCGTCTCTGGTTCGGTTTAGTGTCTCTGGTTCAGTTTCACATCCCTGGTTCAGTTTACGCAAAGGTATTTTATTTTTTCAGGTTCTTGTGGATGAAGAAGTCACATTCCTATAAATGAGAACATGGAGACTTACAGGGCTACTGATACCACTGAGGGCAGCAGCTGGCAGTGAGCACTGCCTTGCCCCTCAATGCTGCACCTGGTAACCAATGCTACAGTCGCTCCCCACTCTAAGACACCGTTTCCTCCTCTGTTAGGCTCCAAGAGAAGCTCCCAAAGACAAAGCTAGGAGCTGAGCCTAGCCACCAGCAGGAGGCCAACTGTACTTTCACTCTGTGGACTGTCCATGTGCCAGCACTTAAGCTCCACCAAAGCCACTTCTGGACTTCTCAGGTGGTAGGGATACAAGCCTAGTTCTCCAGACCATGAACCAACCTAAACCTGCTGAAGTCTGCATAGACATAAATTTCAGTGTAGTAAAAACTACACATTTTAAATTTCTTCCAACTAGTTTTGGAGTGATAATCAATAGTATCCCCTGAGGGTAGCCTGGTTGATGCCCAAATCAGAAGGAAAAACACAGAATAAAGGAGAAAAACAAATCTCTAAAAGTACAGAATACAAAGAAGATAGGAAAAGGGAGGAAGAAAGAAAGGAAGAAGGGAAAGAGGGAAGAAAACTGAGGCAGAGAGGAAGCACAAAATAAGCCCCAAATACACCAGCCATTACAAACACTGTAGACTTACAAAAAAAAAAACACCTATTAAGAGACAAAGATTAATTTATTACATAAGGAAACCAAACACAAACTCTAGGGAAGGGGAAGGAAGAAAGGCATGAAAGGCTGAGCAACAGAGCCAGCAGGAGGGGCTCGAGGGGTTCGAGTCACTTGTCCTCAAGCTTAGCCCCACTTCTTGCCTTCCAAACACAATGCAGTGGGAAACAGTACACAAATTTGTTTTTAAAATCTTAACCATGTAAATCCAGTAAATCAAAACATGCTTTTTAAAAAAAAGGAAACAGAGCTTCCTAACTTTTTAAACTATGAAGGACATTTATATAACACATTTTAAAATTCAAGTAATACTGTTTTCCTTCAAAATTACAGAAAAGATTACACAAAATTACACAAAAAGATCGTTTCTATAGTCTGTTACAGAATTGCACAGCAGAGAGGCACAAACTCAATTTTTCACAGAAAACAACAATAAAGATACTGACTTTATGAGGCCCCCGGGACTTCTTAGAGACGGTTGAAAATAACACGCATCCAGGCACAACTGTATTTATGTATCTATACCAAATTGTACTTTACATTCTAAAATGAGAATGTTCTTACTCCTGAAATTATCACAGACCACACTCAGATAAAACAATGCATTTTAACATAAATATTCACTTGGCAACTCAAATTTTTGCTTTTTTATTAACCACAGAATCAAGACTAGAAGAGAACATGACTTTTCCAAAGTCTGAGAACATCTTTAAGAATCAAGATGAGTGGTTACCTCGTGAAAGGCATCAGGGTCCCCAGGATTGAAGAGTGAGGGCAGCTTTTCCTCTAGTCCCTGCACTATTTCTGGCCAGACAGAATTCACCAGGAAGTCATATCCAGGGACAATGGTAGCTTTCTCACTGAAGATAAGAGCAAATGTCTGGTCAAATTCGCAGTAATCGTCCACTTACAGAGAGCACATCTGCACTGTGCTGGGTCCACGAGAACGTAAGTTAACCTCTTTAAAAGACCACACTTGCCAACTGGCTGTTTCTAACTGGAACTTCTCTTCACCCCTGGATCTCAGTGTCCCCTGGATCCTGACTCCCACACACATGTCAAGGACAAGGCAAAACCACTGTATGAAATGAGTACAATTCTTCTCTCTCAACAGGCTACCCCCCCTCCCTAGCCAGGGAAAAGCAGCCTTAGGTCACAGGTCAAGTACTCCTCCAGCCCTAAAGCAGAATTCCACTAGTTAACCACACTGCTCACAATGCTGCGATCATTAAGCTCTGAGGGTATCTTCAGTTCAAACATTCTATGTGGCATTTCACAAAAAGTCTCAATCACAAATACTGGTCCAAAAAGCTGGTAACAGATCAATGTATTTTGTTTTGTTTTGCCACTTTTGCCACTAGATGTTGGATTTCTAACTCACTAACTCAGTACTGAGACAAAAGCAGGCACTTCAGAGCTAGCAAGCCGAGTTCAAATGATGGGTCTTGAGCAAACCAGCTCTTCTGTGCTTTGGTTTCTTCATCTTTTAAGAAGGGCACAGCATCAGTACCAACTTCACAGGGCCATCAATAAGGATTAACATTTGTAAAGCACTCAAGACCGAACCTAGCACACAGCAAGTCTGCTGGTCATGGTTAAACACAGATCTGAGAAGAGCCAGGCAAATGACATCTCACTGGCCTGCCCACTGTGACTGCTGTACATTGACTAATTTACTCTATTTTAAGATATTTTTCTTTAAATATGGTAAGAAGTTTAATGGAGCAAACATGATAGTTTTGTAGCTAACCTGTCATATCGAGACTTAATATTCTGATAAGTATTAAAATAGGCCAAAGATTGTTTTGAGGTTTGAAGTTTTCACTACTTTTCTGCTCAGCAAAAATGATCCCGACAGATGGGTCATTAAGGAGGCTCTGCCTCCCTGACCATCTGAGCGCTGAGGACCAACCAACTGCAGAGTAGGGAGGCAGGCGAGAGGCCTGCTTCCAAGAAAGCCAATCCGGTGTCGCAGTCCAGACATTCCATCAGAATGGGAGCTGACTGTAGGGCATGTGGAGAAGGAAACTGAGGACTTCACACTGAAGGTCACAAGAGACATCCAACAAGAAATGGCAGAACCTCCTCATCAGCAAAGCAAAAGTCCCCCACAACAAGGTGAACAGCTGACCCGGACTGTCTTCTTTGGAGGGCAAATTCTGAATGTTGCTGGTAGTCAATTAGGAAAGTCACGGAAGGCAGTGTGTGAAAGAGAAAAGAACAGACAGTGAAACACCAAGTCTGGAAGACATGAAGCCCAGAGCAACAAGGAAGGTCAGCATGACGACGGGCTGGAAGCAGAAGGCGGCCCAGCAAAAGACAATGTAGTCTTTGGATTCCAAGGCTTCTGTGTGAATTCCACAACCCTAAGACTGATGAAGAACTTCTAGAGCTCAGAAACTTGGCTCTGCAGGATGAAGACCAGCCCTGTTAAATCTAATGACTGGCTGTTTTACAACTGTGGCTTCTTTGATTTTACACAACTTCTACTAAATTTTTAACCCAAATCCAAATCCATCTAAATCCTCAAGACTACTGAGCACAAGTGGCACAGCAAGGCCTCATTTGCAATGGGACAAAGGAGGCAAGAGGACACTTCAAAGGTCACAGAGAACATTAATTGCCCAGATTTTTAATTCCCCCAAGAAACAAGAACCACATAGACTGCTTGTTCCATGAAAACAAGCACCTTATTTGACTTTTTCTGTTGCTTTATTTTGTTTCTTTTTGGAGACAGGTTTCCCTATTATGGCCCAGGCTGGCCTCAAACTTGCAATCCTTCTGCCCTTGCCTCCTGAGTGCTAGGATTATAGGTGTGCACCACCACACCCAGCCCTTATTTGCCTTATGATCACTTAAGGAACTGGATTCTTTCATTTTGCAAGCACTACTAGACAGCTGCCATCTTCAAGACACAGTGTCAGGAGGTGGGAGGGTGGGCAATGCAGGGGTGGCCCTTCTGCAAGGTGGAGGTCAGTTCCCAGAAGACACACAGGCAGTGTGTCCTGGATTCCAAGGACATTAGTGTGGAACATCAAGCTTTTAAAGGAAGTGGTATCTCAGCTTCGATAGGAAGAAAGGACGGCAAAAGACCCTGGAAGGGCAGGGGGGTGGGAAAAGGTGACCAGAGCCCCAAGGGATGCGAGGGAGAGTTCCTCCTGGAGAGCTGCCAGGACCAGATCATGAAAAGCCTGCTCTACTGTGTCAGTGGTCCTGGGTCCTCCCCACCTAAAATTCAGGAAGAAGGCACAGTCTATGGATCTCAGAACTTCCTAAGGCTGGGCTGGAGAGTGAGAGCCTGAAGCCAGGACCAGGTGGTGAGCTTACTGTTCTGGACAACAGATGACTGGCCTGGTCCAGGGTCATGACAACAATTAAAGAAATGGGATATTTATCAAAGAACTGGAAAGTCACAGAAACTGACCAAGGACCGAAGATGACCTCATAACTGGTCTAAAACTTGAGTTAAACTGAATCAGCATTCACAGGTTATGAGACTGGGCTAAAGGACAGAAGACAATTCTGACAGCAATTTAGGAAGACATCACAAAGAAGAAAGGATGATTTTGGATTCAGAGACATGGTTTGCTCATGCATGGAACACAGATGATGCACCTGTCCCATGGCACAGCAGGGAAGGGGGAGCAATGCAACCAGGGTCCTGGTGACCTGCTCATGGGAACCAGACCCAAGGTACAGTCCAGGAGAGCCTTGAGGTTACCTTGATGCAGCTCCTCCTGTGACTTCCTGGAGAAGGCGGCAGTGGTGAGGGATAAACTCCAAGAGCTTATTATACATGAGCTGCAGGCCATTGGGCTGGGACTTAACAAAGTGTTCACTGATCACCTATGAAAAGGAATATAATTTTTAAGAAGCATTTAAAAGAGAAGAAGAAACTATACTACAGAGAAAATAATAAAATGAAGCCTCGGAACATGCTTCCCTGTGGCCACCCTCCTCCCCATTTTTTCTAAACTGTAAAATACAAAATAGGTCACATTCAAAGCCAGGTCCTGAGGTCCAGCTACAGCTATGACATGGGGAGAGTGAGGTGAGGTGACAGAGATGGGCCTGAGGCTGAGGAAGTCACACATCCATCTGCTTCCCCTGACCTTGAAAGACAGTAACACCTTTTTAAAAGGCCTAGACAGAGCACACACTGCTCACCACAACAACCATGTCTGTACCCAGCCTCCATCACTCACACGAGTGCAGGGTGCGAGATAGAATGATAGGGCAAAATATGTTTACTTTGCTTATTTTATTTTTGGTCATAAGGTTGGGAGTTGAAAGATGGTATGGCAGAATAAGTACTAAAGTTTAAATAAAGTTAAATGGAGCTATGATTTATTTAATATGCCCCAAGTTTCAAATACTTCTATAACTTAGTGTGCTAGACTCAGTTCAATAAAAAACACATTAATTGAAAAAGACGTAACAGTGTAATCTACCCTTTAACCTGCACAGAGATAGCTGCAGTAAAGAACAAAATACAAATAGAAAACCAATGCTATTTCTTTTTAGTAATCCTAGCAAGGCCAGAAGAATTACTGAAATAACCCCTAATTTTCACTTGCACCTGCTTTGCAAGTGTGAAGCCCTGAGTTTAAAACCCAGACCCCCCCCTCCAACACACACACAAAAGACTTTCATACTGTCACGGCGAGTACAACCTTTGCACTCACTGGTTTGAGTCAGAGGAAGTTGCACTTTTGCACCTCAGCCTCTTCTTATGGCACAACCATCCCCTGGCTCTTCTGGGAGGAAAAGACTGACTCCTGTATGCTGACCATATCCCCACAGGTGAGGAACGCAGTGCCAAGTGTGCCTCTGCTGACTGCTAGGAAAGCCCCTCATCTCTGAATCTTCCCTTCACCTTCCTGGTCCAGCAAACTCCTCCTTAGTTTTAAGCCTTGGCCAAACATCCTCCATCCCCTGAAGACCTATGGGCGTCCGCTGACTTCCCTTCTCACACACCATCCCCTCAGCACCTACGCCTTCCCTGTATGCTGCAGTGCTCATCTGCTTATTGTTTTTCTACCCACAAGACCAGTGGTTCAAGGGACTTCACTGGGGATATAATTTACCTTCTACATAATGGAGCTAAAATTGGGCCTGTCACTTGCTAGGCAGGTACCCTACCACTTGAGCCAAGTCCCCAGTCCTTTTGCTTTAATTATTTCTCAAATAGGGTCTTGTGTTTTTGCCTGGGTCAGCCTGGACAGTGATCCTTCTATTTGCCTCTCCCACACAGAGGGGATAATAGGGATGCACTCCGTGCCCGGCTTGATTGACAAGGGGGTCTCACTAACGTTTTGCCACGGATGGCCTCAAAACACAATCCTCCCAATCTCTGCCTCCCGAGTAGCTGGAATGACAGGTATGAGCCACTGTTTCCTGACTTCTGAAATGTTCTGATGCAGGACTCTCACCCCCCCAAAAAAGATGGTATCTAAGCCATAGCATCACCAAAACATCTGAGAGCATACTTAGCTCTGGGCACACCAACTGTGTGACAGGACCATTCTTACACTGATCCTGCAGGGACAGGTGCTTCCCAGCAGACCACTGCTGTTGCTGCCTCTGCCCCCCACACCCAGCAAAGGGCAGCCAGCTGTCAACAGCTGCTCTGTGCAAGCCCATCAGACGAGGAACACAAACCTCGTCTACACACGGTTTCACCAGGACTTGCCCAACCAAGGCCTCTGCATCCCGAGTCTTGTCAATAGTGGCATAGGTTCGCAGGCAGTGCCGTACGATGTCGACATTGGAGGTTTGCAGGCCTTCCAGCAAGAGGCCCTCCAGGGACTGCTGCAGCACGGCTGTGATACCAGCAATGCGCTGTGAGAAATGGAACAAGTCCACATCAGAGCCGTTTCTAACCACTCAAGAGAGGCGCACACACTGCTGTGCTGCCTGGGGAGTTATACTGAATCCCTTCCTCCCCATGATTACTCTCTAAGTAGACATCTCTTAGACATCTCTGATGTCAAAGAATCTCAACAGAATTACAGAATGAAAAAAAAATCACTTTCCTCTGAAGCTAAGAGTATCATCAAAAAATTTTTTTTTATTCATTTATTCACATGTGCATACATGGTTTGGGTCACTGCTCCCCCCTGTGCCATCCTCTCCTCCCCAACCCCCCTTGCTTCCAGGCAGAACCTGGAAGATTCTGTTGAAGAGAAGACATAAGCATGATAAGAAAGACAAAGTGTTTTTGCTAGTTGAGATAAGGATAGCTATACAGAGAGATTCCTAGCATTGCTTCCATGCACAAATGTGTTACAACCCAAGTTGATTCATCTCTCGCTGATCTTTACACTGGTTCCTGATCCCCAAGAGTATCATTTTGATGTCTGACTTAAAGTCCAAAGGCTTTGGAAATAATCTGTCTGTATCATATAACATGTCAAATTACATGAAATTCGGAACTAATGCTATTCTTACAATTTAGAGAATGTGATTGAGTCTTCACATAAAATCTGTAACACTTATGAAGGGACTTATGAAAGACTGATAAAAAAAATTCACAGCTACTTTTGATTTCCTGCAGATCCCCAATTAATACCAGTTATACTACTACCATTATCAGATAAACCCAAGTTATTTAGCAAGCTCCAAAACCCCAGACAGGGAAGCTCTGAACAACACGTACCGGTCTCACTTTGTCCAGAAGCGGCATGCCCTTGCTTTGCACAGCATGGAACTGCAGCTGGTTAAACTCTGTGGCTATTCTCTCCAACATCTGTCCAGTCAAGAGTGGGCTGGGTGAGACAACCCAAGAATTAATTCCAAGGGGTGTGCACATCCCAAGAGCACATCACACCGCCACTGGCAACGTGGCTTTAACCCACTGGGCTTAGCTTTGCCAGAGGGCAGTTTCCATAACCGCCTTGCCACAAGGTCAGTGTCAGCCTGGGTGCCATCAGTCTGCCTCCCTCTGAGCCATGTGCCCAGCCCGCTCCAGCCATGGTGGGAAAGTGCTGAAGAACAGGCGACTGACTGACTGAGCCACAGGGCCTGATGGGGGTCACACCACTCACTTGACCAGCTTCCCCAAGATCTCCGTTCCTAGGCTCCTTTGTCTTCCCCCCCTCATCTCTCTCTCCTCTCCTGTTATTACCTCTCAACCTTCTCCCTCTTCTCAACCTGCTCATTCTTCTCTAGAATACTGCTCATGTTTCTAACATGCCAGATACTTTCATCACCTTCTTAAATAAGATTGGCCTCCAGGAGCAATAAATAAAATCCTTCAAAATAGCTTTAAATTTAAATAATATCTCTAAAATTGTGTCACCAACAGTTGAAAGAGCAGCCAGTCTACGTGCTCTGGGCACATAGAGAAGGCATCCATTGTGTATCTGCACAAAGGAACGAACACACTCTTTTTCCTAAAAACATTATGATATCCAGCACCACTCAGGAGGAAGTATGGCAGCAAAAGGGAAGGATGAAGGTGTTGCTGCTGCAGAAAGCAGAGGGTGATGAAAACGTGCATAGCACTGGACATACACATGGTGGGCTGAGACATGGCTGGCCTGCCCAGTCTTGTGCCAGTCTAGAAGGTTATCTGTCTCCAATGTCCCCAGCTCCGTCCTGAATAGCCTGTAGACTGACCATTTACAAAGTATCTAAGCATATCCAAGCCTGAGGTTTACGATTCACTAACACGCTCTGACTTCCCCTTCTCTATAGCCAAACTGCTGATCTGAGTTAAATGAAGCCCTTCCACGGTGATTCAGAGCAAGGAACACAGCCAATGACTGTTGTGCTCAGGTCGGAATGTCACGGGAGCAAAACGCATGGAAGCAGAAGTCACTGAGGGAGCTGAAGCCTGTTCCTCATGCGTGATGCTGCCTGACATGGGGTGTAATGAGCAAGTCTTAGCCCCTGGTACAAGTGACCTTGCAATGTGATGGAAAAGCATTTGAGTTAATCAGTGGGTCCAGATCCACAGAGAAGGCCTGGCCATCAGCCCCCCCAGGCAGATGGCACATCTCAAGCAGAGGAATCTGGAAGACCTCCTGGAGGAAGTGGTCCTGCAATGGAGTTTTTAAAAGGTAACTTGTATAATCTGCACCTTTCACTACAGAACTAAGCAGGACCGAGTTTAAAGAGAATAGGAGGGCTCAATGGTATTGAAAGGGACAAAGAAAAGTGAATGTCACAAACACAAACCCCACAGCACTTTATAATTGCTTGTCTCCTACTTAGCATGGCATCTTGACTGTCCCGAGCAGGATTTGGAAGATGTGAAAAGGAACTTGGAAGATGAAGAAGTGAAAGTGAAAGAAAGCCTTCAAGAAGACAGAAGGCCACCTGGAAACTGGAGCTCAAACCAGCAACACTCACAGTAGTCGGAGCCACAGCAGGCGCAAACCGTTTTGGCAAGAAGTGCAGAGGTGGTGAAGAGTGACTTGGGGGAGTGATGGGGCTCAGCATGTATGCAGAGAGACTTGAAGAAAAGGTGAAATGTGGCCAGGCTACGGCTGCAGAGCTGGGCACTGAGCAGGCAGGAAGCATCTTCCAACACGACATTACAGCAAGTGCTGCACACGGGGCTAGAGGTGACAGAAGATGGCACAGCAAAAGCAGAGACCAACTCCCCATGACTCCCAGCCAGGCTTCAGGAGAAATGGAGGCGCTGCTTCCTGAGACACGGAAGGAACAGAACAGTGAGGCTCTTCTACCAGAGAGAGCGCTGGGCAAAGAACACCTGAGCTCAGTTTTCAATGTGATTGGTGCGGAGTGCCTGTAGGACACTGGCAGACTCATGGTCAGACCAAACCAAGTCTGAGGTTAGAGATGTTCCTGGAGGTAGGAACCCAGCATCCCCAGGGCGGTTAAGCCTGTAAAGTGGGATGAGGCTTCCCAGAGTGTCTGTTAGGACTGGACCACTGAGAACAGCACCTGGGAGAGAAGGCTTGGAAAGGCAAATGCAGTCCAGAGAAGGAACATGGCAAGAGGGACCCAGATGGAAGGAGGCTGGGGCAGGTGTTGGGTGCACAGTGAATACTTGTGTGGGAGGGGCTGTCAATGGGTGGTGTGCAGCAAGGAGGTAAAGCACACTGGACTCCACTGACTTCTCAGACACCAACACTGACTGACAAGGGCAGTGCACAAGTGCAGGGACTGCAGAAATAGATGGCAGGAACTGACCATTTGTCAATGCCTCCTGATCCTGAAAGGAGAGATCTAGTGCAAGAGGGTCACTTCCTTTGTGGATCTTCATTTTTTAATTTCAAAGTGAGAGGGAACACAGACTGTTTCTTAGGCTCTTCCGAATCCAAAATTCTAATTTCTCAAACTAAGAAATCCATCATGCCTTCATACATAGTCTGATCAGGACTTTGAACTACAGGTACATTCCTTTGGTCTTGGTTGCCTTTCCAGAAGCTTATTCCATTTTACTCAAGGAAAAGTATTATGGCTGTCAACATGACTTGAAGAGTTGCCATGTTAGACCCTAAGCACAGAAGCATGAGGGTCTATGATGCACCAAGCACCAGCCAGCAGTACCTCAGTAGATGTCAAGTGACCTACACTGCAGATGGCAATGCTCAGGCAGAGAGCTGCAGTGACCTGGCCAGGAGCACCAGCTGGCAAGCAGAATTAACCTGTGCTCTTTCCTCTGCCTTGAGGGGTTTCCCACCTGTGTGGACACAATTAGTCCCCTTATTTCCTGAGTCACTCTTCTACCTGCTTGACTTTAAATTCAAAATAGGATGGTAATAAGACAGTTACCATGTAACAAAGGAAATGTCATCTCTTCCTTTGCTTGGGAGACTTTTCATTGCTGTTTCTAAATTTCAAATGACTGTGTCTGGCACTATTCTTGATCTAATGTTGCACATTTTGAGACTAAAGACATGTCAACAATAAGACTTTGGCCCGTTGAAAAAGTCTAAGACAAATGTTATTTCCATACCTTGAAGATCAGTAATATTTTGCTAGACTGAGGGCAAGGCAATTCCAAAGATAAAAACCTTCAACAGGAAGCACTTTGCCTCAGGCTCTCGGAAAGGTGGTGGCCAGAACAGTGGCCTATGGCCACCCAGGCTTTGCAACAGCGTGCACTGTAAACCTTGCTTTTCATGCATCATCCATTTTTCTTGAGCTACTTTTAAAAATATAAGCTATAAACTTTGATTTTATGTAGTTTTTCTTTCTTTCTTTCTTTCTTTTTAGTTTTTAGCCTGCATGTGAAGTATTTAGTAAAAACTTACCTGTTTGCCTCTAGTGCAGATGTTTCTTTAGAACCTTGAGAGTTCAAGATTTTTTCAATTTTCTCAACTGATTGAATAACTTGTACAAGTCTCAGCACACACATCTATAAAAATGAAAGTTAAGCCAAAAAAAAGTCACCATGATATTGAATCTTAATTATCTTATTTCCTCATCTTAAAGAAATACAAAGCTCAAAGTCAATGTTCACATTTTTAATATTTCTAAATAATACTAACTCCCAAGAATACAAATTTCAATTTTGTTTTAGAACAAGTTTATTTCAATGTTCTGTCATAAGCTTATAGTTAAACAAAAAACATGACACTTCATTGCCTTCTTGTACTTGGTAATCTTACTCCTTTTTCTCCCCCCCTTCTTAAATAAGCCTTTCTTTTGGCACTACATTTACTTTCATAAGACTCTTTGCCATGAGTTAACTTTTTTCCAGTGTACTTCTGCTCTCCAGTTACACGAGCATGATAGACCTGCATACCCAATGTCGATTCACTAAAGACACTTAAGTACCCAAAGCAAATGTTAGCAAAGAGCTCCAGGAACATTTCAACAAAGAAATACAGAGTTAATTCATTAAGCAAACAGTTACTGAGCATGTTATGAAGCAAGTCATTCTTGTGGACTCTGGGGACATGAGTGGCTCTTGTGAGGGTTACAATCTTGTCTAGAGATGTTCTAGATGTTTCAACTCTTTGGAGAAAAGCTGAGAGGGGATCTAAAGGAGAACTAATCAGAAGGTCTTCAAATCTGGCTTCTCTCCTTTCAGGTTTTAAAGTATGCTAATGCATAAATTTAGAAAACACTGGGAAGAACACAGGCTAGAGCAAAAGAGTCTGTACATCTAATTTCAATTCTGCCACTATGTCATCATGATTATAAAAAATGAGAGAATAGAGTTCAAACACAGGAGCACTGCATGGTGAAGGCAGTGCATGCAGAGTGAGTAAAAATAAAGGTGGCAGCACACATGGTGGAAGGAGAGCAGACCTCTCCTTCCTCAGAACACAGAACCTGCAGGAACCTGCAGAGAAGAACATCTCTGAAAGGTGCAATACCACCTTCTGCGGGGATGCTGGAAAAATGACACTCTTGCTAAACTTTAAAGGGCTTCACTGTCAGTTCTTACTGCTTCCTCCTTGGAAAAACAAGAAATTTTAACATAGCTACCACTCAGGTATCTCTGCAATTCTGTCTTCCTACTTCAGCAGGTGACATGACTGAAGAGCATGAGAAGACAAGAGAGGCACTGAACTGCCATACAACCTATTTCTTTAAAAATATTAGTTCTACCATGAGTACATTAAAGCACAAGAACATGTAATTTTCTTTGCCTTTTAAAAGATTACTTATTTTCCCTTGCCCCTCTTATTCACAAGATTTTAGTCAGATCAGGAATGAGAAGGTGTGGGTGCTGCCCCTCGGCAGCTGTGCTGGGCTACTGACCCCTAAATACAGGAGACAGCACGCTCCTCTCCACAAAGGTACCAGGGAGAGCAAGTTAGAGCACAAGCCTGAAAATGTTTGCAACTACGGCAGGGGGAGCTGCTGCTTCAGTGGCAGGACGCTAGAGTATTACCTTTTTCCTCCTGATGTCCTCTTGTTTAGACATTCGTTCATCTACTGCTCGAATTCCTTCACTGACAGATGACCTAAGGCTCTAAAAGAATAAAGAAAACATGTTGCAAAAATTGTGTAACATCACAAAATTTACACATTTAATTCCACAGGACTTAATATTTACAGGCAGTATTGTTATTCAGATACTGACAAAATTATAAGATGTTAGACATAACTGCTGAGAGGTTACTTATGGTTCAGAGGCAAAGTGATATATAAAGCCAAGGTCACACAGGATTAACTGCCAAAAGAAAAATCACACACATGATGAACATCATAGGCAGTCAGGGTAGAGGAAGGACGCCTGAACCCATGAATTAGGGAGTCTATAATGTAGCGGGATGGGACATGCAGGAGGCCCGCTTCTCCCAGCGTGCTGGAGAGCAGAGAAGAGATTCTTAAGAGCACTTAGCTCAGGCGCACCTCCCAGTGCCGTCCATTTCAGAGAGAAGTAGAAGTTAGAGAGAGGCTGACTTGGGGGAGGCTCTGGACTTGATGATGCACAACCAGTGAGGACACAATGTTAAGGACAAGACAGGACAATGTCAGAGTCTCACAGAGCAGCTTCATGAGCTGGGGTCAAAAAGGAAACAAAGGTTGGTGGCTACACTGGTTAGGAAAAAGGTGGGCACACAGACAGCTGAGCAAAGATGGAGAAGATGAAGTGCCACAGGCAGCCAGGCAAAACCAGAGCCAGCATGCTTGAGGGCCAGCCACAGGCAGAGCAGAAGTCAGAAGAGCTGAGAAGATGGATGCAGGAAATACCCTGCCACAAGAATGGCTAAGAGAGCCAGGCAGAGCCACAGAGGTATGGAATCTAGCAGTGGGCCACAAAATCATTCCCTTTCATCCCATGGGAAATTATTGCAAGGAGCTTTTTAAAATCAAGCAAACAAGCTTTCACAACCACTCACTAGTTTAAAGGAAGCTCAACATGAATTCTTTCTGGCCTCCCTTCCTGTGACCATCTGACAACTGTTACTCCGCATTTGCCAGCACTGCACACACAGACAGTCCACCTGTGTCAGCTCAGAGCTGACCACGTGCCTAACTCCATCTTAGTCTTAGGGCTAATACATAGGCTGTGCAAGCTGTGCATAACCTTGTGGTTGTCATGCAAGTAACCTGGGGTGCTGCATCAAGTGTACGAAAGCTCACTGACATGGTGCCTGGAAGTCAGGGTGGCAGAGTTCAGCTAGATGTGGTGCCAAAACTCTCCCTCTAATGTTCACCCTAAAGATCCCATTGGCTTGGTATCCCTATCCCCAATGGCTTAAAGGTGGACAGCCCCATTTCCACTGTGACCTTATCTCAGAGAAATGTCAAAATACCATACTTATTAGGTATCACATTAATTTTAGACAATCCTCAGTAGGGTTTAAATAGCTTTTGTGGACTGGTCTAGGAACCTAACCACACATAAAATATCATTTGAGAAAAATACTTAACTTACAAGTGTTTAAAATACAAGCCATTCCTAAGTTGGAATTCCTAAGATTACTTACTAATAAGCTGAATTTTTCAGTCTTTTCTCCTCCCGTTTCAAAGCCATCATACTCTAAGAATCTGTCATCCTCAAATCAAACGTGTTTTTAATACCATATGCAAAAAATAGAGAATGATTTCTTTATAACTTTTTTTGAGGACTAGGACTGTAATCACTGACCTTTCAACAAATGACAAAGTAAGAGTTTAAAGGAATTCTTGGAAGAGGCAGACAAGCACACAGTATTGTAGCATAGACACCTTAATGTTATTGGGGTGGGGGGCACTTACCAGAACCTCTTCTCGCAACTGTCCCAAAGGCACAGACAGCTGGTTGAGGGCTTTGTCCATGCCAACCTAAAGACAGAAATCATCAAGATCAAGAGTAATAAATAGTAAGTATCTGTTTAATTATCAGAGCAGCACTAGACTCTCGTCCAGAAATACTGCTGAAAGACTATGAAAAAACTTGCTGTGTGAGAACCATAAAAATAAGGAACGTTGTAAGACATAAAAGCCTCCTTATGCACAATTTGCCTTTGGATGAATTTTTTTTTTTTTTGACAGTACCGGGTTTTGAACTCAGGGCCTCATGTTTGCTAGGCAGGCTTTAACTCTTGAGCCTTTTTTGTGTTGGGTATTTTTGAGATAGGGGCTCTTGAACTATTTAGAACTTTGATCCTCCTAATCTCTGCTCCCTGAATAGCTAGGCTTACAGGTGTGAGTCACAGGTACCCGGCTGTATGAAATTATTTTAACGACTGAAAAATTTTAACTAGAGACAAAACTGCTACCTGAAATTCATGCTATTCAACTGGCTTATGTGGAAGTCTGATGAGTGGTATCTCATGTAAATATTATAACCCTTGGGAAAAATCCAAATTAAATACAACATTAATAATTTTCTCTGGGTTCCTAATGCTAGAAGAACATTTGTCTCAGTACTGCAATGGATTAATGAAATGCTTTGCGCAGTTCTCACAGAGGGGCTACTTCTGAATTTCTTTGGACAAACGGATTTAAAGACTGAGTAAAATATGAACAAGAGTATATAAACTTTGAGAGAGTTAAAATGCAAGTGTTTCTACACTACTTTGATAAACTGGCATGCCCATTACAAAGCACTCTTCCATCTTATAAAACCAAGCTTCCTAAAGGCCAATACTAGCCACTTCTCCCTCAAGTGAGTCCTGGACAGCACATGTATCTGAAGGCAAATTAACAGTTCCTTAAGAATAGCTGATATTTGCTCTTGCAAATTAGCCCAACCTGTGAGATTTCCTGGTAACCAGTCAGTAGCCACCAAAGACAACCTCTCTGTTGCCCTTACCTTTACTCTCAGCTAATACCAAAGTGACAACATTCTTTGGTGAGCAAGAACTAAAAATGAAACATACGCCAAGAAAGTTTGATTCTTCTATTAAAGAGAATCAACTAAAAGGTTTCTAAAGACAGGGCATTTGTAAGGCTCAGTCTGCATGGACAGATGCTGTATGTGCATATGCGATGCCTAGCAGGGACAGTGGAATCACAGCTGACCAGGTTTGTCGAGAGGTTGACAAAGTCTGCGTAGTCCTTGTTGATGAGCTCCACCATGGCTGTTTTGAGCAGCTTGTAGTACAGCTCCAGGTCATCTCTCAGCTCTTCCAACTGCACCCGCTTCCTACAGTCAGACACAAAGTGATCCACGTCGAAATCCTCCTGAAAGTCAATCAGGGAAATGGCTGCAATGGCACTCCATTTACATAGGAAGACAGGAGAGAAAAGCCATCCCGTCACTCACAAGACCACATAGACTGCTGCAGGAAGAGCAGATATGGAAATATAGATGCTGCATGATGTCACTTGTATATGGAATCTAAAAAAGTATAACTCATTGAAACAGAGTTACTGGGGATGGAGGGTGGGGATAATGAGGAGATAGCAGTCAAATAGTATGAAGTCAGCTATAAATGAGTAAGTTCTAGAAATCACCTCTGGACCTCAGCTTCCTTATCTATAAGCAAGAGGAAAAATCTACCAGTTTCTTTCTCTCACTCTCTCCCTCTTTTTTTTTTTTGGTTTGAACTCAGGGCCTTAAGCTTGCTGGGCAGGTGCTCTACCACTCAACCCATGCCCCAGCCCATAATTTTTCTTAGGAGATGGGTCTCACTATGCTGTCCAGGCTGAACTCAAAAGTCTTGGACTAAAGAGATGCCCCCACCCCAGCCTGACAAGTAGCTGGAACTACAGGTATATGCCACAATCCATTTTGTTTTTCAAAGAAACATAGACTGCCAAGAACATAGACAATGCGATGTTATTTAGTCAAGTGCTACACTATTATACTAAGAAGCCCAGAGAGGTCAGTGATTTGCACAAAGTCATACACAAGTAGTCAGCAGAGCTGAAAACTGGGGTTCACATCTTCAGGTCCTCACTGTTCCATCATCACTATGACACAAAGACATATGAACAGCTGGTCATCTTTCTTTTGGACACACTTTTTGGTTCAATATTCCCTATTCACCCAATTAGAATATGGAGGAGCTGCTTTATCTCCTACTAGCTCATTAACATTTCTTATGGTGACTGGATATTGACAGTCACCATAAGAAAGCTCCCAACTCTCATCTCATTGAAGGGTATTATGTATTAACCCACAGGGCTACTAAGGCCAGTAAGAGGCAGGGCTTCTAAAAAGAACTGACAGACAGAATTCAATGCAGGAAGATTTAGACTATGTTGAAACAAACTGCACGCCAAAACAGAACTCCTCACCAATGGAATATGCTACTTTAGGACGGCCTTAAACATTTGAGGAAATTTTCCGTATGAGCAGAGCAGACACACTCGCTAGCAACCTCTTACTTAGGAGCTCAGGCATGCACTTTGAAGAGAGCACCCTGCCTGTGTCATGAATAAGCACAAAAGGCCAGAAGGGATACAATGAAGCAGTACAGTGGCCTGAGATGACGTCCCGTATTTTGGGAGGTGGAGAATGAGACAGACAGAAGATGAATTCAAGAGGTGAGATCAGAGGGCTTAGTAACAAGCTGACTTTGGAAAGCAGAGAGGGGTGATCATAGATTACTGCAATCTGAATGGCCACCGGATGGATGGTGGAGCATCTACTGTGAAAGCTGGGTTGGAGGGGAAAAGGCTCAGTTCTTTTTTTCCCCACGAATTCAGTTGTGAACATGTTGCATTTGAGGTGCCAGAGATGTCCCAGAAGGGACATCGGGGTTGATTACATGAAACTGAATGGCAAATGATATTTGGTACCTGCCTACAGGTGGTCAGTGAAGCTGCATGGAGCAGATCACCCAGGGAACGTGGGCAGCATGGAAGAAGAGGACACCTGTAACTGGCCTTTAGTGGCAATGAGAATGATTATGTAAAATAGACAAGGAAACCAGAGGCGAAAAGAAAACAGAAAGCATGGGGTCTCAGAAAGCAAGAGCATGGTACAGTGGATCACACCTATAATCCCAACACTTGGGAAGCCCAGGCAGGAGAACCGTGAGTTTAAAACCAACCTCAGCTACATAGCTAGATTCTGTCTTTAAAAAAAAAAAGGGGGTGGGGGAGGGCTGGGAACGTGGCTCAAGTGGTTGAGTGCCTACTTAGCAAACATGAGGCTCTGAGTTCAAACCTTAGTACATCCAAAAAAAAGAGAGAGAGAGAGAAAGCAAAGCAAGCAAAGGAAGGGAGCATGTGGTCTGCTAAGAGGTCAAGCAAGGAGACAGGAAAAGGTCTGCTGAACTGGCGTGCATTTAGTTGTCTTTGGTGAGTACTGTGCAGTGGATTGCCATCCACGACAGCCAGAAGTTAGTTTAAGGCAACAGCCCAAAGTGAGTAAGGGTGAAAGGTGAGACGGTAAGGACAACACTTGAGCTTGCTCTGGGGTAGGGGAAAGAACAACAAGGCCATGCAGAAGTGCTGGCGGGGATCTGGACATGGGTGGTAGGCTCATGAGGAAGGAACCCCCCTGCATGTGAGGAGTGAGAACTGCACAAATGTAGGCTTGAGGGTGACATCAGCAAGGTGAAGACAGGCCCCTTTGACAGTCTCTATTTCTACTGACAACAGGAATTGAAGTCACATGCTGAGTGGAGGCAGAAGGATGCTAGGTTCATGGTCTGACTTGCTTGTTAGCAAACCACCTTCTCCCTCCTGCCACCAACACTTTATGTTCTATTTTGTCTGTCAGATGTCTTTAATCCTTTTAGGGTATAAGCAGCCTCCCACCACCAGTCAGTTTCAATGCAACAGATGTGACCAAGTAATTTTCTGCTCTAAAGTTGATTGTGACTCCACAGTGAACACAGCACAGAGCACCAATCCTTCAAATGACAGACAGGACACATTTCAACTTGCACCCCCACCCTGCCTACCTTCCCAGTCTCCTTCCTAACATTCCTGCACTCTCCATCCACCTTGAACTGAGTCCAGTTCCTGGGTGTACAAGGTCTTCCTTTCACTGTGCTTAAGAGTGAAAAAACACCTTGTTTATACTTGTCCCTTCATATCTGGATTTCTGGCTAGTACACACCAGGTGGCCACTGAATGCCCACTGGCTGAATAAACGATTGCTACTGCTGCAGCAGCAGTTGACATCATCTCTGCAAACTTAACACAGTTTCCAGTCAAATGACTTCATCGCAAGTAATCTGAACTTTCCTACTGCATACCTAACAGCCTACAACCTTCTCACACACAAACCTACCCCACTGCAAAACATGTTGAATAAGACACAAATACAGAAAAGTGACCCAGACGGCAAGCACTCCATCCATTCTTTCTACCACAATACTATGGCTCATAAAATCTCTTTAAAGGAAACACAAATTGCAAATAACCTTTAACTTTCGGTTCCACCTAGGAAAATCAACATTTGAACAGAACAGCTGCTGTCTGTATTTTCCTCTACACAGTCAATTTATCAGCACTACAAACTGCAGGGGACACTCAGGAGTTTAAGAGCCACGGAGGAATAATGGAATTGCTGGCATTGCAATCACCTCCCCAGCGTGCTCTCTCCAAGTTCTGTTTTACTACTTACATTTTGTGAGGGTTATTTTACTGTTCTGGCAGTACTGGGGTTTGAACTCAGGGCCTCATGCTTGCTAGGCAGACGCTCTAGCATGTGGGCCACGTCCCCAGGCCACTACCTGCATTTTGTGACTTGTACTTCCTGAAGCTGCATTTACCAAAGGCCTTCTTGTCAGTTCTGAGCGAGAAAGATGGTGGGGCAGAAAGGATGCTGGCAGCGGGCCTAAAGGAAGCCTAAACCAAGAGGAGGACAAGCTAAGCCTTCTCTGCACCGCCAGATCCTAACGTCAGAACCGGGTCCTGGTCTCTGTGCTGCCCTCTCCTTCCTGGGCCACCCCTCCCCAGCATGCGCCCTGGGGTTTTTGGTTCCCTGTTTCAGGGCAGCTCCCAGCCGGGGCGAGGGACAAGGGGTTCTGTGGTCAGGGGGCTGACCGTGCACTCTTCCAGGCACCCCATTCGAACTGCCCTTCCTCGCCACAGTGGGCAGCGGGAATGCCGCCACATCACAGAACAGCAGGATGAACCCCGCACGTGAAAAATGACGCAGGCTTTAAGAACCAGAGGACGCTCTGGTTATGGGATCTGACTGCAAATACCAAAAAAAAAAAAATGCAGTCCAATTAGGCTGGGGAGGGGGGGAGCAACCATCTGAAAAACGCTGAGCAGCGAGGCTTACACTCCTGCGGTCAGTGCTTCAGGAGCCTACTAACGGGAACGTTTAACTTTCCCCCGAAACCAGCTACGAGGTGCTGTTAGAACCCGTAGTCCTAAGAAATATAAACGCATTTGGAGGATGGCTTTATTACGTGGCAACCCGGAAGGGACGCACTTGTGTTATCGGCGAAATGTTCCCAGTCTACATCTTTTTCCCTCCAGTTATCAGTAGAGCAGGTCTCGAGTTCCCCTCGACAGAAGAGGCCCATGGCTGGCTTCCTTGTGCTGCAGCCGGCCCGTGCTTCCGGCCCCCCCACGAATGGCAGGCGGGAACTTTAGCCTAAGCCTCCTCCCCGGCCCGACCCCGGGGTCGCGCACGCACTCACTGAGCCCCCGGCACTGGCCGGCGCCCCGCGACCCCGCCGGGCCACCGCAGGGCCCGTGCACCCAGCCGGCCCGCGGCCGCCCGGCCACGCACCTTCATGAACTCGTCCTTGTCGAAGCACAGCGTGTCCGGCCCCGTGGGCAGGTTCATCCTGCGTCTCTCCATCCCGTCGGCCGACGCCCCTCAGCGTCGACACCGGCCAGGCGAGGACGCGGGCAGCGGCGCAGGGGACGCGGCGGCCCGGCCCCCTCCGCGGCACGGGCTCCGCTTCCGCCAACATGGCGGCGCCGCACGGCGACCAATAGGCGCGCGCCGTGGGAGGCTGCGCAGGGCGACGTCAAGAGCGGCGCGGAGGCGGCTGCTGCGCATAGTCAGGCGGTGCTTCCCCTAGCGTTGGAGGGAGTTACTGCAGCCTGTGCGCATATGTAAGTTTGTCTCCACCTGCAAGAGCAGGTGTTTGCACCCTGGAGGGTGTGGGCCAGGGAGCGCTCCATCCCAGCTTGACTTTCAAACTGCCATTCTTTTCTGGTCAGCTTCTGGTCCCCTTCTCTGTAGCAGAATGAGGGTTCAGAATCCTGGGGAGACACTCCCCAGCACTGGGGGGCCAGCTTTTGTTGGGGTGTCCTCTAACCCATTTTGGGAATGAAACCAGAGTTTGGAACCCAGGCCCGAACTCCTTGGACTTCCACATGTCAGGTCCGTCCTGATGATGAGAGACAGAGTGAAGGCAAAGAAAGGAGATTTATTGCATGGCCTGGGAATCGCTGTGGGAAGAGGCAGAGTCAGCACTTCAGCCTGTTTTCAGCCATCTTTGGGGTACAGATATGAGTTTCAGCTTTAAATAGACAAACAATTAGGGCAGAGGACAAAAGGTATGCATAGTTAAACAGTCCCAGTCTCAGGTGTGTTCCACTGGCTGGGTGGGGTCCGGTTGACCATTATTTCAGTTCTGGTTCCGTGGGTTCTGGAGAAGTTTTTATTGCTGTCATCACTTGAGGGGAGCAATCTGGTTCCCAGGTCTGCACTCTTGCTCAGGGTGCAGCCTCATCGTTATAGGTAATTGTCCTCATTTGGATGGGTGCTCTGTGCTGTTCCTGTCTCCACTGTTCCTTAGAGGTAGTTTCTGTCCCTTTTCATAAAAGGTGTTATTGATCATTCCTGTCCTTCCTTGATTGCAATGGAAGAGAGAATGTCTCAGAGCAAAAAACAAAGGTACAAAATGGAGAGATGCCAAGCTTTTCCCCTACTTTTAGTTAATTCATGGGTCCAAGTAAGGAGTCAGTGCGTTTCAGCAAAAGCAGTTTAACATCTCTTGCAGAAAGACATGAATAGGGGCAGTCATAAAAATGGCACTGACATATTTGTTGATTGTCCTTGATGTATTTGTTGGGATGTGGGAAGGTGTGAAGAGTGGATTATGAGAAGCCTCTGAGAACTGGACATAAGCAAGGCGGGATGCAGCTCAGCTGTTTTTCCTAAGATGTTTATCTGTAGGCTGATACGCACAGCCCTGGCCACAGAAGAGGAAAATGCAGAACAGCTGCTTCTCTTAAGTGGTTTACCTTCAGAGAAGCAGGAACGCAGGTTTCTCCTGTTACAATGTCACATCCTTCCCTGAGAACTGCTGCTCCACCATGCTTACCACTGGATATAAAAGATTCACTGAAGGAGGACATGAGGCTTTTTGCTTTGGGGCTTTTGCTTTGGGCTTTTGCTTGAAGCTTTTGCTTTTAGCTTTTGGGCTTTTGGATTTTTGGTGTGGGAGGCTTGTGGAAGGGAAAAGAATTACTGAAGGGAAAAGGAATGCTAAAGGGGTATTGCTGAAAGGGAATTGCTAAAGAGGGGTTGATGGAAAGTCTGCACGGAGAACTTTAACATAGGCCTTAGAAAAGCTAAACCAAAGAAAGAACTTATACATAGGCCTTAGAAAAGCTAAGCTAAAGAAAAGCTAAGAGAACATGGGACAGGGTGAGTCTAAGGACCGAGACTCTAAGAGTTATGCATATGCAGTTTTTAGGTGCAGCTGTTGTTGGTTGCAAGTCTGAGCACAGAGGCTTTAAGAAAGCTAAAGAGAGAACATGGGACAGTGCAAATCTGAGGGCAAAAACTTTAAGAGAGATTATGCTAAAGAAAAGCTAAGAGAGAACATGGGACAGAGTGAATCTAAGGAAAGACACTTTAAAGAACACAAAAGAAGACTTTAGAAACAAGGTTTTAAAGAACTGTAAAGGAGTAAGGCCTTAAAGAAAAAAGACAGAGAAAAGAAGCAGAGTAAATTAAGAGAGTAATAGAGAAAAGAAGCAATGAGGCTGCTCAGCACACCTGACCCCAACTTTCTGTCTGTCTATCCTTTGTTCTTTCTGCATCTCCTGTTGCCCAGTTAGGCCAGTTAGGTTCAGTAATAACAAAGGAGCAAGAGAAAAAGCTGGCTCCAGGAAGGAAAGCTTTGTTTTATTTTTTTGCTCACTCTCATTATGAAGATTTTCAACCATGACCCCCCCATCCCACCTCCAGCTCCAGCTCCAATTTTCAACTTGCCTCTGTCCTCTTCCACCCAGGGCACCAGCACCGCCACCTTGGTTGTTGGGACATATGCTAAACAAATTAAACACCACACCATTTCCCGCTCCCCAATATCTCATAGGAAAAAAAAGACATCCTTGCTGACTTAAAAAACACCATTGTCATATCTAACAAAATTAACAATTTTAATAACCAATCTGCTGGCCCTGTGAACCGTGATTTCTAGTCCAAGGCCACACTGAGTGAGTGGCAAGCTACAGCCTGCTTCTAGCACCAAGGGAGGGCGAAGATGCTGGGCAGAGAAGCAGAGGTGTCTGGGGAAACTGCCTAGTCCCTTGAGGCTCCAAGCTAGAACTTGAACTCTTTCTTTCCTTCCGACACTGTCCCTAAGCTTTTTAGCAGAGAAATAAACCCAAACGTGTACAGTGTGGCGAAGGTCTCTGCTACCTGCTCTTCTCCCAGGGTTCAGTAGGAAGTAGCCGGGACCCTATTGTGTGTACTGCCACTTGAAGCTCAAGGGTTTGGCAGTGGTGTAAGGAAGAAGGAAAGACCTTGATGATAGTGTAGCACCCTAGAGGGTACAGAGGATAGAGATGTGTGTGTGTGTGTGTGTGTGTGTGTGTGAGAGAGAGAGAGAGAGAGAGAGAGAGAGAGAGAGAGAGAGAGAAACACCAGCGTGCCCAGAGGACATTACTCTGGGGATCACTGAGAGCTGACCTTTGGTTGGCACAATTGTGCTGCTCAGGAAATGCAGACTGTCCTCAAGGGCTTGTGAACAGCCTCTGTCCAGAGCCTGCAACAGTGGCCCTACTGCCCTCACCTCTCAGGCCTTGTGACCAGCCAGTCCAGAGGCCAGCTTCCCACTGCCTGTGCTGTTAGGCATCTGTCTACTGCTAGATATTTGAGAACCGTCTCTAGTAAAGATGTCCATCTCATGGTATTTGGAGCAAGAATGAATCAGGACATAGATATATAGCAAGTGGTCAGCATGCCCTTGTTTCCTGTCCCTTCTCCGATCTATGCCTTTCCTCTGCAGGTTTTTTTTTTTAATCTCTCAGTCTCTCTTTATGTTCCTTGATCTTGTCCCTTCCTCTCTTCCTTTCTTTCTCCTTCATTTCTAAGTAACTAGTAAGCCCTCTTTGTATCTCTGGAAAATTCTTAGTTTCCTATTTTTGGTGGCACTCCCATGTCTTTCTTCCCCTCTCTGCTATTTATAGGTCTCCCATTCTTGGCATGTTTGCTAGCAAACACTCAAAAATTGTAGAAATGTCATGTGAAGGGAACTCAAGTGGCCATTTCTGCAGCCATCACCACCAGGTTCCGGTGCTGACCCTCACCTGAGTGGTTGAGCCAAGAAAGCTGAATTTCCCAGCAGAACCAGAGTGGCCTGATTAGTGTAAGGACAGGAGGGTCCTGTCTCTAAATGGGTCATGTGCCAGCCCTGAAGGCTGACTGTACAGCCTAACGGTCCCCCATCCTGAAAGGGAGCAGGGGCAAGCAGGATGGTGGTGACTGGGGAGTGGGGAAGACCACCATTGGGTTCCAGCCTCCACCCTGACTTGGAAAGCTCACAACAATGAACCAAATATCTATATTTAAAATAAAAACAAAAAACTTCCTTTGACCCTACATCTTTCTGTGGCAACTTCTGTTTCTTCTCTCCCCTCCCCATTCACTCACAGTGTAACATCTAAAATACATATCGACGCCATGGTGACCCAACGTGGGTACATGCTCCTGAAAGCTACCTGCTCCTTGCGTGCAGGTAGACTTAGGGGAGTCCCTTTCCCAGTCCTCTGCTTCCATGAGTGCTCTTCTGTAAAACTGGCATGACTGAGAATGAGCCAGGGTTACAACAGTTCTCTCATTTTCCAAAAGCATAAGTTGCAGTGCAAGCTTTGGGCTGATACCAAAGGATAAATTAAGATGCCTCCCCAATCTCCTTGGGGAAGGGGTAATCTCTGTACTGTCAGCCCTCAAGACTTCCTTTCTGTCGTGTTCAGGTTGAAAGTAGCTTGGACAAAAGAGGTTTGGGGTTAATGGTGAGACGCTCTGGTGTCAGAAAGGCAGAAGAAGTTTCGATTAGAGACATGATCTTTTTAAATTAAACTGAATTGTCTTGAGAGTATTATCAGATATTCCCAGATTTAATGGAAAACACCACCACCACAAATATGCATTTTAATTACTTTTTCAGATCCAATGTGGTTTAGAAAATGAAATGGCTGAACTCTAGTGTTCTTATTTGAATATGAAATGTCCCCACGGTCTTAAATTCTTGAACACTTGGTTCCCATCCAGTGGCACTGTTTTGGGAGGTTCTGAAAACTTTAAGAGAGGGACCCAGTTGGAGGTATTTGGTCTCCGACCCCCTCCTCAAACTTCTCTCTCTCTGTCTCTCTCCCTTCCTTTTAGTAATGAGGTGAACAGCTCTTGACACATGAGGTTCTACCCAAGTGCACACAGTCCAAACAACCATGGACCGAACCCTCTAAAACAATGAGCTAACGTAATTCTTTCCTCCTTAAGCTGTTCTGTCAGGCACTTTCTCATTGTTTGGGTTTTTAAAATCAAATTATATCAGAAACATTTTATACCAATGAAGTTAATCTTTTCCTGCATCATCTTGCTAAAGTACTTAATCCTTGCAATCTGTAATTAATTTTTAAAACGTATAAAATTATGACAAACAACTTCTGGTATCAGCTTGACACATTGCAGGTGTTCCCTAAGCACTGCG